TTGTTCAATTTCGTACGGGTAGCAGCCGATTCCAGCGACGTCTGCCGTGCGTCGAACAATTGTAGGTGTTCAAGGGCACAAAAGCGCCCCTCGTGAGGATGAAGGTCGGGTCGTTGTTGTTTCATGCACCTCTCAAGGAATGGGTAGCTGCCGTGCCGGTACTGTGGCCGTTTGAGAGGCGGCACCCCTGCTCATTTGGATAGACGGGATAGTGGACTTGGGCCGCTGGCAGCACCCATCCCGCTACGTAACCACTCAGCAGCCCCAGCACCATTGGATCTCTCAGTGGAAGTGCGGGCAAGCTGTCGTCTTGATACGTACACCTGGTCCGTGCCTCCTTACCCACCACCCACAGCGGCTCTTGGCAAGGAACGCGACCTCTGGCAAACGATGGCGCAGAGGCTAAAAAAAATTGGCAGCGGAAGCTCCATCGATTCCCGGTAGAGCTTCTCTCTTTCGATATTCACTCCGCCAACGAAAGGAACCCTCGCCAACCTCTCCGGTCCTGCGAATCATCCAACAAAACCGCTGAGCGCAGCATCGACTTTCGAGCCGCCTCTCGCATACACTCTACCCCTCTTCGGCACCCGCCCGCTGCATCACCCTGCCTTCTTTGTTTGTCCCGCCTTCGGAGTATCCCAAAATGTCCCAGACGTCGACGATAGTGACGGCATCGGTCGCCGCCGCGGTTACCGGCCTGTTTGGTGAGTTGGCCTCCAGCTCCGCGCGCCAGCCAGACTACCATTATTGGATATCTTGATGGCATACGAGTGGTTGTGGATAAACGAGGAGCAAGCTGTTGTGCTGACTGTTGCCCAACAGCCTACGCCGTCTACTTCGACTACAACCGCCGCAACAAAGCCGAATTCCGCAGAGAGCTGCGCCGAAACGAGCGCAGACAGCACAAGGCCGAGAAGGAGGAGGCCCAGCTGGAGACCGTTCGCCAGCGTCAAGCGATCAAGCAATCCGTCGATGACGCCAAGGCCGAGGGCTTCCCCGACGACGTTGAGTCCAGAGAAGCCTTTTTCTTGCAGCAGGTTTCCGAGGGAGAGACCCTTTCCGCCGACCGTTAGTTCATCCCTACACCGATCTCCCGTCTTCGAGGAAGAGCGCAAACCCTCTGGAGTATTTCAAAGGGACTTGGGTGCTGACATGTTAAATCAATAGCCACCCGCGCCGTTGAGGCTGCACTGGCGTTCTACAAGGGCCTGAAGGTCTACCCCACGCCTGGTGACCTGATTGGTATCTACGACAAGACCGTCCCCAAGGTAAGGAAACACGCCGGCTTTCAAAGAATTGACATGGAACTAACCCATTGACAGCCTGTTCTGGACGTCCTGGCTGAGATGATCGCCTACGACTCGACCCTCAACATCGGCCAGTACACCGGCGGTGTCAACGCCAACCTCTCTGACATGCCCACCGTTGGCCTGGACTAAAGAGGCTCCGTCCTTTACGGCACCCAGATTAATCCCCTCCACTCTCTCACTCCTGAGTCCTCCCGGCTACCGACGGGCACACCTCATAACCCACCAAAAGGACAGCAAGATCACTCTGCGCATGGCGTGATACTGTTCAACCATTCCCCGAATCTCACTCCTAATCCCCCGACTACCATCATATCGCAAAGAGAAAAAGAGGATTCACGACTTTTTCAATGTACAATACTCTGGCCGGCTGGGCTGTTTTGATAGAAGGTTTTGTAAGAGGAAACCACATGTATATTGATGACGACCCTGGCAGGAAGAACAAGCAAGAAGTTAACGAATTTCACAATCTCGTAATGCTTGTCAATACGCTACTGTCGATGGGCAGAAAAGCTATTTGACCGTTGTTTTAAACGTTTATGTACGTTGGACTGGGGTTGTCACCACTGTCATGACCATGGCTATGACGCAATGGCGCCCGGTTCACAAAATTTCTCCAAGTTCAAGACGGCCCACAACTGGGTTTGTGAAGATAATGTTGTGCCCTTGCGGATGCAGTCGTCTTTTTTATTATTACTAAGAACCCTACGCCTCGATTTTCCTGCCCTTCCTGTCAACTCTCTCATCTCGGGGATCAAATCCGCCATTGCCCCAAGTCGCCCACTCTGGCGTCGCCTCACCCATGTAATCTTCCGGCTTCCAGTCTCCATCGGCCCCGCGCTCCTCAAGCAGCTCAAAGAACCTCTGGTAGTCAATCCTCGGGTGCCACTTGCCGTCCTTGTAGAATCTGTCGCTCGCAAGCAGCACGCAGCAGCTGTGCGCATGCTCCGCCGCGATGCCATACTTAAGCCCCTTCTCGTTGAGCCTCTTCTCCAGGGCCGTCACGAATTCTGCAACTTCCCAGTAGAACGGCACGTTGGACATGCTCAGGCCGGCGTTGGACGCCGTGGAGGTGCCGCAGTACGTGACGCCCTTGATCTCAACAAAGCACGGCAGCCCCTTCTCGACGAGCTGCGCGTACCCCTCGACTTCGTCGTCGACGTTGAAGCCCTTGACGAGCGTGAGGCGGAAGACGGTGCGGTGCTTGAAGCGCTTCTCCCGCAAGATGTCTAGACACCGCTGGAACCGCTCCCAGAAATCGCGGTGCAGCGGGCGGTCGATCTTCCGCAGCGACTCCTTGTTCGAGGCATCGATGGAGACGTACAGCTGCGTGACGGCCTTGAGGGCGGCGAGCTGGTCCGGGTGCTGCGCGTTGCAGACGAGGAAGGACGAGATGCGCTCGGCGTGGAGCATGCCGAGGAACTCATTAATGTACGGGTAGAAGATGGGTTCGCCGACGAGGGAGAGGGCGCAGTGGCGGATGCGCATGGCCTCGGCGAACCTCTCGGCCCTGACGCCGGGAACGCCGCGGAGCATCTTGATCTTGTTGTAGTGGTTGGCCTTGACGCCGTCAAAGATGAGCTCGGGCGGGTCGACGACCCAGCGCCAGGTAGTGCCGACGGGGTTCGTGCCGTGGCGCCAGCAGAAGACGCACTTGTTCGAGCAAGACAGCGAGGGGGTCGTCTCCATGCACTGATGAGAGTTGATACCGTAGAAGGAGTACTTGTAGCAGGAGCCGCGACCGCGCAGGGCGGACTTTGTCCAGCGGCAGATCTTGACGCCAGAGTGGGAGCCAACGATGGAGTAACCCTGTTTTGTGAGTGAGGCGTAGGTGGGGGAGTTCTTGGGGACCATCTCCTTTGCGGCATTGGTCGGGGTCTTCTTGGGAGCGGAGGCGGACTTTCCGTAGGTTGTGAAGTCGACGGCAATAGGGGCAGCGGCGGGTTTCGTGTCGGCGTCGGGATTGGAGCTCTTCATAATGCGACCGAGATCCTCAACATCGTCAATGTTCTTGCGGCTCTTGAGCTTCTCGGGCTTTGCGTCTTCCTCGATGAGAACCTCGTCGTCATCCTCCGCCGCGGACTCGTCGTCACTTTCTTCGGGTGCGCCACTTCCCGGCAGACCTTCACCTAGGCTACCAGTCTTGGCTAGCATACCGAGAACATCCACGACACCCTCAGACCATTCAGATAACCTCTCGACGTAGTCCCGCTTCGTATCACCCATGCCCACAGGGAAAGCTCTCTTGCGGCCGGTAAGCTTAGCCATCCACTTGTCGACCTCCTTGGCCTGGAAGCAGAAGCCTTCGTCTTCCGTAGGCCATCCTTCGCGGTCGCCAAAGCCGAAGACGGAATAACCAAGAAGCGGGGAAAGGGGGGCGGTGTCGATGCGGAAATCATGGTGCGTCTCTTGCAGGTGCTCCAAGAAGGTGTCGTTGATCGTGTCAATGTTGTAACTTGGCAGGAGGAACATGTAGAACAGCTCGACGGGGTCCTCAGACTTGGGCGGGGTGATGAAGTAGTCGTCAAAGTCGATTTCAGCCAGATCCAGAACCTCGGGGGTGTTAAATGAGTAGCCAGTATCCGCGGTAACCTTTTCCAGCTCCTTTTCCAACCGCTCGGCATAGTCCTTCGCAATCTTGGGGGTGTTCGCGGTGATGCTCGAAAAGAAGATCAGAGGTCGCACCGTCCTTGTCAAAGCCTCTCCATTCTTGAGCTCCTCAGAGGGCCTCTTGACGAGACCACCCTTTATCCTCTTCGGGCCGTTCGACTTGGGCGCCTTCGCCTCGACAACCGGCGTCGGCTTCGCATCCTTCTTCTCGTCGACGGGCTTCGGCAGCGGCTTCGACTCAGGCTTTTCCCTGTTCAAGGCCTTGGGGAATGCTTTCAATTCGTCCTTCTCCTCGACACTGTGAAGATAGAACCGGAGTACGAGCAGGCCGAAAGCAGTAAACAGAATGACGGGTATGCGGATTTCTTGCCATACATCATGGAAGTCTACGCACAAAGAATCAGAAAAGTTAGCGCAAATGCGCACGGGTAGCGACGCGACTGCGACCGATCCAATGCTTACTGTTCAACACGGACAAGATGCCCGGCCGGTCAAGAGGGGAAGCCATCTTGACCCTGGAGAATAGTCGAAGAGCAGCGGTGCTCAAGTTTGAGCCTTGAAACTGCTGCTGCCGTCACAATTCTTGGGAGGTGCGAGGGTTGCAGGGGCGGGGTGTGGGTTTGGCGAGGGGACCATGCAGCCAGTGGGCGCAATCGCAATGGCAATTCTTATTCAGAGTTTCGGCGCCTGGACTTTTGGACCTGATTGTGGTTGGTGCCCCCGCAAGAGAATTTTGGCGGGTGCTGCACCTCATCAACCCCGCCATTAGCGGTTTTTTTTTTTTTTGGAGAAACCCCTGCCATCTGCCAACCCCAAATGGGCTGTCAGAAAGCTTCTACCTCGTGTTTGAAGAAACACAGGATGGAGCTGAGCTTTGAGAGCTTGACGTATTGCTTTAACGAAGTCCAAATAAAGTTTATGAAACAGCCTCGAATCCGATTCCATGCATTTATGCTTGAACTTTTATCCAGACATTATTCGTCAATGAGTTTACGTTCGTAGTCTCTACCTCGTCGCTGGCCCCATCTCTATCCACGTCTACATCTATGACCGGCGCTCTGTCTTTTACTTCCCCGTTCCTATTCATACTCTGCGGTCTGATCCTGCTTGGGCCTGCTTATCCCTTATATCTTTCAAGCAGGGAGCAAAGAATATCTCTCCTGAAATGGCTTGGTGCAGCGTTCTGACTGCAACTAACAGCCATAGGAGACATACGGAAAGAGAGAAAATCTAGACATGTCGTTAGTAACTTCACTCCTTGGGATGGAGAGAGGTGCATACCATGGTCGTGACTCTGAAGAACGTGCTGTCCAAGTCCTGCGCCAGCATGCCGGTACAGGTTGCCATCACACCCAACGGAAACGTGAAACCCCACCAGCCCATGTTGAACGGGAACTTTTGCATCGTCACAATGCTGATGAGAGCAAAAGATAACCAGACCAGCGCGAAGCCCCACATAATCAAGGCGAGGAAAATGCCCAGGAAGTAGAGAATCTCCCCGCCGTGTACGGCACCGGGCGACGCAGTGGTGAAGGCTGTTGACTGGGGAAGGAGTTTGAGGGACACTTTGCCCAGTTGCTGAATGCCAAAGCCGCCTTGGCCCAATGGACCGATTGGCAGAAAGACCGAGACGATGGCTTCTTTGGGAGGAAGACTATGAATAGTCAAGCGATGGAAGTAAAGTGCCAACACCATGCTGGAGAAACAGATCCCTACCCCCCATAGGATGTAAGAGGCGATAAGTGTGATAAATGCATGATCTGGATTGGACAAAGCCTCAGCTACGATGCCACCCGTTGAAGACGCAACTACTACTGGCACAATTGGTAGAAGACTAGCTGCTGTAACTGCTTGTAGCCCCGGACGGTGTTGATGGATCCTAGGGTTCGGCTATTAGAATAGGCCAAAGAAGGTAAGGCGATTTTGAAAGGCCTCAAGTGACACCCGACCCTGAGCAATGATTACCGAGGGTGGTTAGGATTGAGACCTGCCCCAAATTTGAACTTACATGACAAACGGTACAGTGATGCAAGTTGCCAGAGATAGAGCAGCGTCAAGCCACCAGAAGCCCCAAGCCCATGAAACAACCCACTTACCCCAGGCTGGAGCGCAGACGAATATCATCATGTTGATAATAGCTAAGTGCAGGCGTTAGTGGCTAGTGTTTTCCCAATCTTATGTAAAGGTCATTTACTTGCAAATCCCATCGGAAAACAGCCAAGGAACATTGGCTGGGCTGGATGGATAACCATCGCCTTCCAAATTTCGGGATAAAGTGCATAACGCAAGACAGTAATGCCCGTAAATATTGTGAAAAGACCAACGTTGAGAATAAAGAACGCGACAGCGAGGCCGTGAGAAATCCAAGTCGCGTTGTAAGGCAGGTTATGGAGGAGAATTGACACGATGCCTGTGCCCATTGTAACCGCAAACCATCTGTACCAGTGTCAGACACTCTTGCCGGCAATGCTTCCGCTGTGACGTACGATGGGGTGAAGTTTCTGACTATCTTTCGCCAGCCAACATCCTCCTTGCAGGGCGTGCAGGGAGTCGTATCGCCCGCTGTCGTACCGTCTGTTCCCGATTTCGGGCAGGCCTGCTGAGGTTTCGACTGAATAGTCGCAGTTGTGCTGATAGTTGCCATTCTGGGTAGTGAAGTTCGCAAGGGGCGCAAGACTACAATGAAACCGCACGCAACTTTGAATTCAAAATTGAGTCCAACATTAGATGAATACTACCTTCTGAACGAAAGAAAGAAAGTCTATGAGAAAATCTTGAGATTAGTAGCGGTCTTCTGGAAAGTACCTAGGTATGCTAGCTGAGCAATCCTAGTGTGAGTAATACGGGCGAGCCCGTTGTGGTTAGGCGCCCCACCACGCCCAGCTCAGTCGGCGATTGAGAGCGTAGCGGCTGTCGGTCAGCACCCTGAACACCGGTACCGAACACAGAACCCCATTGGCATTGAGTAAACATAACGCAACCCCATAGTTGTCAATCAGCTCCAGAGCAGCACGCGCGCATTAGATACGTCGTCTGTACGGTTTGCAATTGACTAGACCTGACCGCCGCAAAACTCTAACCAGACCCATTTCGTCTTATGTGAGGCCATCTGACCACCATGTACATAGGGGGCCGCCCACCGCCTATCGCCGGCTTTGCAAGGATCCCACGACAAAGCCTCCATTGGTTATCTCAGCCAACCAGAAACCTCCATTTTTGGGGGAATTCGTCTACCCAACGACATGGCATTCGCCGACCAAACTGTGCACGCAGCGCCGGCAACGTGTTCAGACTACCCTGTCTCAGAGAAGAGATAGGGTCTGATGGGCGTCCCGACCCACCGTCCGAGGTCGGACTAACCAGTCGCTCCGCGAGTTCCGCCCATTTCCGTCAGGTAATGAGGTGCGAGCCTGTCCCGATGACCGACCGGTGTAATCGTATCACCAGAGAGCGACAAGACTCAAAACCCCGCACGTTGAGCATACCGAAAGACAATCGTCCATCCCAAGCATCGACCAGTACCATAGACCAGTCATCCCATTCGTAGCCATGGCCCTCGAAATCCTGACCAAGATCACCTCTGCCTTCGGGCACGAACTGAAGGGCGACAGCAACCGGTTTGATGAGCTCGTGTTGGCGTTGAAGGAGGCCCTGGGCCCGTCGTCGGGGTTGGACTCGGCTGACGTCGACGTCAAGGAGTTGATGGAGCTGATGGAACAATACAACTCAAGGGAGAGCGAATGGATCCAATTTGCATTCGCCGAGAAGAGCATGGGATACACAAGAAACCTCGTCGACGAGGGTAACGGCAAGAGCAATCTCGTGAGTGGACATCGCCACAGCTTTGTGGTAGACGTCGATGCTAATGCAAACACAGCTTGTGCTTGTCTGGTCTCCGGGCAAGGGCAGTCCCATCCACGACCACGGCAACGCCCATTGCCTCATGAAGATCCTCAAGGGCAACCTGACTGAGATTCGATATGCCTTCCCCGAGGGCGAGGAAGAACAACCGATGAAAGTGATGTCTGAGAGAACACATAAGGAGAATGCGGTGGCATACATGGCAGACGAACTTGGCGTCCACCGGGTCTGCAACAGGGGCAGCGACTTCGCCGTATCCCTTCACCGTGGGTTTTGCTTCACCGTCTTCGCCAAAACAAATTTGCTGACCGGCTCCGTAGTGTACACCCCGCCCAATGTCGCTAAGGGAGGATGCAACATCTTCAATGAGAAGACAAGTAAGAGCAGTCATGTAGCCAAGTGCGGCTACTACTCGGCGTACGGCCGCCGACTGCCGAAGCAGTAAGAGGAGGAGCCCGGATAATGTTCGAATTCGTGTTTGGCGTTTGCGTATTCTTTCTCTCATGCATTCCGATGATGGCTCGAGCCTCGGGTCGTCCTGTTTGATATAGAAGCGAGCATGCCGACAGCCGAAAGGCGCTTGTCGGTAGACTGATGACTGATGATGGCATGAAGGGCTCTATCCACCTGATAGTGGATAGACACCGACGAGGAGTTCAACCTGCCGCGTTTCCCTTTGGTTTTGGGGTACCAGAAGATAGCAAATTCAACAGGAGACTGCCTGAAACGAGAAAAATGAAGTCGACTGAGGTTGTGAATGCTGTAACAGCCGCAAGAGGTCGCCGTTGGCCAGAGACCACCCATAACGGGCCCCCGAGGCGGGTCACGTGAAATGTCGTGATTTTGCACTCGGTGGTGATTGGCTCGGTTCTTCTTCCCCCACGATGGCGTGCTTGATGTTCCCAGCCACAGACCGGGGCCCGTTTTCTGGCTGGCTTGACTTGCGCACGAGCCACAAGCTCAAGCCTCAGAGCTCGGGCAAGAGCAACCGGATCCCTGCGTCGATCCCGCAGTGGGTGGACGCCCAGCGAGATACGCGAGACGCGTCGGCCGCGTTGGGAGCTTCGCCGCGAAAGGTTCCGTCTTTCTGGGATTCCTGATTTGGTCCTTTTGGAGCTTTCGGTACCGACCGTTGAATCTGACCACATCTGACGACTTTCCCGTTTCGGTCCATCGTTGCACGAACCAAGTCCAATCAGGTCGCCCATCAATAGGTACCGGGCTGCACGCGGACAGCGAAGATGCCGCCCAAGAAGCGTGGCCTCGATGTCATCGACCTCATTAGCAGCGAGGGCGAGAACTCATCAGCGCCGCCACCAAGCAAAAGGCCGGCCGTAAACCGGGGCCCGTCTTTGGGACAATCCACCGGGGCCCGTGTTGCGGGCAGCCAGCCGTATAACACCCAACGCACGGCTAGCTCTAGTTCTTTCGCCGGCCCTTCTTCACAGAATGTGTATTACGACCGGGACGATGCTGACCTAATCGACCTCACACAAGCTCCCGATGGTCCAGCCCGAGAGCTTTATGGAAATCTCGGTATGGATTCTGGCCCTTGGTTAGTGTATTATGTGTTCTAACGCCGCGTTTTAGATACCAAGATCGTCGGAGTGCGGTACTACAACGGCTACGCATCGCAGGGAGAGGTTGTCGTCTGTCTGCGGGAACCCACCAACCCAGTATGGTGTTTCTTATTCGTGGCCTTGCAACCATACTAACGTGCATAGTACGATTCCAATGCCATTCGGGTCTGCAATGTCATGGGCATCCAGATTGGCCACATCCCGCGCAAGGTGGCCGAGAAGCTGGCGCCATACGTTGTAAGTGGCCCATTCCACTGACTCAGTGCCATGCTCATCCTTCTTAGGACAACGATGATGTTGCTTTGGAAGGCACACTCACAGGCGAGAAGGGCGTGTTCGACTGCCCCGTTCGCCTGCATCTTTTCGGAACCGGCGATCGTGAGCAGCGTCTGCAACTGGAAGACAGGCTAAAGAAGGATAAGCTCATCAAAGCCACCGAGCTCAAGAAGACCAGGGCTGAGGCTGAAGCCCAGAGAAAGGCACTCGGCATCAAGAATTCACAGTCGACGATCGGCTTGGGCGGCAGTGCCCCAGCGGCCCCAGAACCGGAGGTGTCACTGGAGCAGCTCACGCAAGCCAGTCAAGCTTTGCAAACCCACAGTCGCGGTGATGCAGTCAAATCCCTTATTATCGACGAAGATACTCTGGCCGCGATGCCCATGGCGGAGCAGCCGGCAGTACTAGAAGCTCAGCTTTTGCCGTATCAGTTGCAGGTACGACGCGTTTTCCTGCATCGACATATCGACATGACAATGCTGACTTTACTTGTGCACAGGGTCTAGCCTGGATGACGTCTAAGGAGAGCCCCCAGTTTCCACCGAAGGGCACCACAGAAAGTATTCAGCTTTGGCAACGGATCCCAAAGAATGACAAGGTAATGAGCAACATGGCGACCAATTTCGTGATGAAAGAACCCAAACTGCTCTCTGGCGGCATTCTTGCCGATGACATGGGTCTCGGCAAAACTCTCCAAGTTATCAGTCTCATTTTGACGGGCGGTCCCGGCACTACCCTCATCGTCGCTCCATTGAGTGTCATGAGCAATTGGGAGCAGCAAATGCGCAGACACGTCAAGAAGGAACACCTTCCATCCATTTACACGTACCATGGATCCAACAAGGTGGACAAGAATGAGCTGGCAAAGTACCAAGTTGTCATCACCAGCTACAATACGCTTGCCATGGAGGGACCAAAGAAGGCTGAAGACTCCATTCCCAAAACGTCGCCCCTGATGCAAATGAACTGGAGACGAGTCGTGCTTGATGAGGGCCATACCATCCGCAATGCCAAAACCAAAGCAGCCATCGCCGCAACCAAGCTCACTGCTCAGTCCAGATGGGCGCTTACCGGAACCCCAATGTAAGCACCCTCAAACCTCTTGCAGTTGACATTAGCTAATCATCGGAAAGCATCAATAACATCAAGGATTTCCAGTCCCTATTACAGTTCCTCCATATCACTGGTGGTGTCGAACAACCAGTCATTTTCAATACAGTGATCGCCCGGCCACTCGCTCACGGTCATCAACGAGCCGAGACACTCTTGCAGCTTCTTATGAGAGACCTTTGCTTGAGGCGCAAGAAGGACATGAAGTTTGTCGATTTGAAGTTACCGCCCAAGACGGAGTACGTACATCGCATCCAGTTTAGACCGGATGAGAAGAACAAGTACGAGGCTTTGTTGTGAGTAGCCCAGGTCGAATGACGACTTACCCGTCTGACTATAAACCTTAGGAACGAAGCCAAGGGGGCGCTCGAAGATTATCGTAATCAAACCAAAGCAGGAAAGGGCCAGTTTCAGAGTGTCCTGGAACGCCTTCTACGTTTACGACAAGTGTAAGAACACCTGTTGTGAACCATAAAGGAGATGCTGATGTTTCACTAGTTGCAATCACTGGACACTCTGTCGCAAGAGAATCGACGATCTTCTGAAGGTCCTCGAGGGCCAATCTGTGGTCTCCCTTAACCCAGAGAACGTGAAGATCCTCCAAGAAGCCCTCCGCCTTTACATTGAGACGCAAGAGGACTGTGCGGTCTGTCTCGATACCCTGGACAGTGCAGTCATCACCCACTGCAAGCACGTCTTCTGCCGTGGCTGCATCACCAAGGTCATCCAGACCCAGCAAAAATGCCCAATGTGCCGCAACCAGCTCGAAGAAGATTCTCTTCTTGAACCGGCCCCCGAAGGTGGCGAGGAGGCCGCAGACGATGGCTTCGATTCGGATGGAAAGAGCTCCAAGACGGAAGCCCTCGTTAAGATTGTCCAAGCCACGACAAAGGACCCAAAGTCCAAGATTGTCATCTTCTCTCAATGGACTTCGTTCCTTAACATTATCCAAGCCCAAATCGCGGAGGCAGGAATCAAGTTCTGCCGCATCGACGGCTCAATGACAGCTGGGAAACGTGACGCAGCCATTGATGCTCTCGACAACGACCCCATTACGCGGGTGATGCTCGCTAGTTTGGCCGTCTGCAGTGTCGGTCTCAACCTCGTATCGGCAGACACGGTCATTCTCGCGGACAGCTGGTGGGCGCCGGCCATTGAAGACCAGGCCGTCGATCGTGTGCATCGTCTGGGCCAGAAGCGGCCCACTACCGTCTGGCGACTTGTCATGGAGGGCACCGTCGAGGAGCGCGTGCTGGATATTCAACATGAGAAGCGAACGCTTGTTGGCAAAGCTTTCCAGGAAAAGAACAAGGGCAAGAAGACCCAGGAGACCCGGATGGCAGATATCCAAAAGTTGCTTGGATAAATGTAATTAAAAATTGGAGTAAATCCTTACAGTTGTTGGAAGGGCAGAGAAAAGTTTCGATGAAGGGGTTAGATGTACCAGACGCATGCCCTGCATTTCTTGCTTCGCCCGTGTTTGATAGATGGCATGTACAAATAGAGGCTTAAAGGGCTCGTTTCATATCGCGAAACAGCCTGTTCGTTCGCTCTGTGGCCGTGATGCTTGATCGCCTCTCCCACGGGGTATTATTCATTCTTTTGAAACTATGCTATCCATGAATTAATTTTCCAACGTCTCAGCCCAAAGGTCAGTCGAAAGATACTTCAGACCTGAATCACAGATCATGATTGCAATCGTCTTCCTTTTCATTGGCCCCTTCAGCAATTCGATGGCTGCGCTTACGTTTGCGCCACTGGAGAAACCCCCGAAAATCCCCTCCTTTTTCGCTAAAAGCCGGGCGCCTTGCTTTGCTTGATCGCCAGTGACCTGGATGTAGCCATCAACAGGTACATCCTTCAAGTAGACCAGGTCAGGCATCACGTAGCCTCCTCCCTGAATGGGATGTTCTGCTTGTAAGACCGGCTGCTTAGCCAAGACAGCTGCCCCCTGAGGCTCGACGATGAAGCATTTGCTTGATGGGTTTAATGCCTTTAGCCGTTTTGTCACACCAGCATACGTGCCTCCCGAGCCGACGTAGTCAACGAATCCATCAAGATTGCCGTTGGTCTGTTCCCATAGCTCCGTGCCAGTCCCGTCGTAGTGGGCCAGCCAGTTTCCATCGCGTGTGAACTGGTCAGCGCGAAACGCCCCAAGCTCGGTCTCAATTTGCTTCGCCTTTTCTTCCACAAGTCTGAGGTCCGGTCCTGAAACTTGTCCAGGGATGGAGCCGGGCATTTGGTCGACGAGCACGACTTCAGCACCCAAAGCTGCCATCATGCGGGCACGTTCGACGGAGTTTCCCTTGGACATGACGGCGATGAATCTGTAGCCTTTGATGGAGCAGACGATCGAGAGGCCAGTCCCTGTGTTGCCACTCGTGAGCTCGACGACTGCTTGTCCAGGCTTCAGCGTTCCCAGCCTCTCCGCTTCCTCGATGATGCCGAATGCGACACGGTCTTTTTTCGATCCTCCAGGATTTAGGTAGTCGAGTTTGGCAACGATAGTTCCGTCGAGTCCGAGAGAGGACGTGATGCGGTCTAGACGCACGAGAGGTGTGCAGCCGATGGCGTCTGCCGCTGAGTTGAGAAGTGGTCGCATGGTAGGTTGCAATTGTGGCGAAGATCAAAGACAAGTCGCTCGAAAAAGAGACGATGTAGCGTAAATGCTCTGATACAAGCAACTACATGGCAAGGGCATGTACTTTGGGTGAGCTTTAAGTGTATATGAGTTTTCGAGTTGTTTTACCAAGAAGCTTTGACGTGGAGCATTTAGTTGACAAACTGTCGTACGAAGGGCGTAGCTAGCAGCCAAGATCTCATTAATCCTGGGCTGCAGTACATCCACCCGTCCAGCTTTTCTCCAAATTCTATTAGCCGTAAGATTTCTCGTTAGCCAGCAAGGCGCATAGACTTTTTCTGATTGGCTATAACTCCCCATGTTATGCACTTGCTGTAGTCCACTCGCACATCCGGTCCATGGGATACAGCCATCGTATTGTTAGTCATGAAACCCACCGGGCGCACCAGGTTAGAACAGGCTGGAAGCTAATTAGCTCAAGTTCCTCTCATACGCACATTCGGGACCCCGGATAACCGAAGTAAAGTATGCCTGTGCTAAAATGATGAAGGTTCCACGTATTCAGAAATCATAACGAGGGCAACAACCAGGCCAAAAGTAGGGATGATGGCTAAGCTCAATGGGACAAAGGCTATTCACAGACGGATAAGTTGGATGTTGGAGACTAGTAGGGCGGCATTCAACAATTAAGGCGGCAGGTGTCCAAAGCCAAAGACCGAGACACATCATCAAACGTTTGAAGGTCGATCGTATTGCTGCTGAAACATCCTACTAGTGAAGAAGTATCTCTCTATGGTATTGAAACGTGCTATAAAATAGTAATCTTTCCCCATGGAACATCGATGTCATCAAACCAAGACCCCAGAGTAGGCTCATAAATATCGTACCGGAGTTTGCCGATTCTTTTGTAACTGTTCCCAGACTTTTCGAGGACCAAACCATAGTAATTTCCGCGAATACGACTTTCGTCGGCCCTATTCTCCTCGTCTTCTTCGACCTGAATAGGCACGAACAGAACGGGACTGCAACGCTCGTCCTCGACGGTGTCGAACCTCATCAAGTAATACCCAGCCCATTTCTCCCGCTGGTGATGAATTCTAATTCCTTCAATAGTCTCGAGCTTTTCAGCACCAATTTGTCCGTCTCGAGGCCCCTTAGCAAGGTTAGCTCTGAGCAACCGGCATTTGAGAGTTAAGCTGCCGCCTTGTAGTTGGCCGGTATCGTCCGATGTCAGAAGAGTCGTTGTAGCCTCAATGACAGACACCAATACCCTATGACGCTTTGGGAACCACGAATAACCCTCATGGTACGTGAACAAAGATGCATTATCAACGGAAGCCCAGGACCAAGACGGTGCTCGATACCGCTCCGGTCGTTTTGCCGGATTGGAAATCTGCCAAAGCAAGTTGCGCGGCATCCTCGATCTCCAGAGACCGCCGAGATAGACTGATGATTCACCTAGATGGCTAAGATGCTTTTTCATGTCTTTTGCAATAGCCGATATTGCCACAAGCTTGTCGTCACTCTTGGTGAGATGACAGTCGTTATAATAATCAAGAATGTGGTACCATTCGATGAAGATGCAGTCGATTGGGTTCTCGAAGCTCGGCGGCTCGTATCCAATAGTGGTCTTCCACACAGTCCGGCGCTTGTAATTGGGTCTGATATCGGGATGAGCGAGGAGAACATGAACGCTCTTCCACTTGTCAAACTTTGGCTGAGCCTCAGAGGAGACGGACGTATTGCACTCCCACAACACCTGGCTCTTCCCAAAGTGAAGAACCCGAGGAGCCAGTATCCTTTCTTGAAGAACCCAACCACGCTTAGACAGCACAGCAGATTGAGAGTCTGTGTTTCTGATGTAGGCCATGGCCATCTCTCCAGCATGAGGCACGGGCTTGTTTGACTCGCCGATAGGTATATTGACCACCGGAATCCTGACGGCGAGCGGATCACGAGAGAAGAATAGCCCCCCGTCATCATCTTCCGCGCCCAATGCCGAGATACAAATGATGGAACTTGCATAAACGTTGTGCATTTCTGATGCCTCTGCAAGCCAGTCCTCCTCAGAGTCTTGGAAGATGCAGAAGCGGTCGATCCAGAGGTACTCGAGCTGAAGCCTCTCCAGTACGACAAAGGCCTCTCGAAACGTCTTTGGTAGATTGGCTATGGGTTGTGAGGTTGACAAGGTCGCCAGATTAGTTTGATTCAATATCAGGTTCCTATCCCAGGGCTTAGTTCCCCAACAATGACTGAGCGTCGCATAGCTGGCTCGCGTCGCGATCTCTTGCCTTGTAGCCAAGCGGAAAGTTCTCTGCTGGCCGACCGTTTCGAGCTTTAGGAGTCGAGAAGGTAGTTCTCGTCGATGCGTTCCCGAAATATCTCTTGAAGACTCTGTTGCGAACTCTTGCTGGGCTATTCCGTCTGGCAACGACCTAGAGTTGCAGTTGGGGTGATTTTCAACACAATTACTGATCCAATCTTCAAAAACGCGCCAAGTTGCTTCGTCGTTTGTGACTGTCCGATAAAGTCGTTGAAGGGACTAACCTGGTGTTCTATCGGCTCAAAAGTCAACATCAATATACTCCTGCCGATTCTTCAGTCTTACCGTCTACACAAGATTTCCAGCGGGTTGAGCTCGATTGTGCGCCTTGCCATACTACCATGATAAAAGTGTCCCCTTCATCATGTCTTGCTTTTTCAAATTTGACGACGAAGGTAGTAAAGATATCAGGATTTGAGAAAGTTGAGCCGTGGCCGTCATCATCAGCAGTATCTCCAACCTGCTCATCGCAGTCGATCTGCCTGCAAATCTCACAACCTTCAGACTTTGCTTGTAACCAGGACCTCTTAGTAAGATGATGTGCGAATGCGTACATCTCGACTTCAGAGCTTAAGTGATATAGCTTCATTCCGTTATACGTAGATCTTGTGACGTTGACCCAGGGAGAGGCAACTGCTTTCGCTATCTCATCTTGGTCTGACGTGAGCACAGGAGTTTCATTTTCGTCGCTGTATCCGACTCTTTTGACCTTTGAAGGGTCTCGGAAGCCTTCAAGGCCATTTAAACAGACTTGGCATAACATAGTCTCAGTACCTATAGTTAGGAGAGGATCCGGTGCGTGATCAGCATTGAACAGAAGATATTTGCTCGGCTGATTTCTTTGCTGACGTAGTATACAGAAAGGTCGTTTTCAGGCAGGCAACTCCTCGAAAAATACCGCATCTCTGTGCCGCACGACTGCAACCAATGAGCACAAAGCTGCACGCGCTGATGGTACTACCGTTCATGATACTTGCATAACCAATCAAACGAGTTCATAGATGTGCATCAGACTTTGGGCTGACCCGTCTGTCCGCTAGCGCAAGTCATGACTTTAGCCGAGGAATCTAGAAATTTAAGCATGAACAGCGTGATGAGCATTCTGTATGGCTGTATCTACATAGAAAATCATCTCCTGGGTACTCTACTGCCCTCCTCGCGGGACCCTGTCGAAGCTAGCTGACATACCAGGGTCAACACCGGAGCTCCTCTGCCTCCAATTCTGATCAGATGAAGCCATCTCTACCAAACCACCTCGGCTTGGAGTCAAATGACCCGCGGGCCCCTGACGAAGATCATGTTCGTTCGACATCACGTACATGTTTTGAATGTCCTGTTCAAACCTTTGAGACTCGGCTCCTTGCTGCTGAGAAAACCTCTGGTTTCGTTGATCGTCGAACTGATTCTGGGTCTGAGAGCCTTGAATGAGCTGCTCGGACTTCTTCCTAGACCACCCGTGACTTGACCGCCTTGCGCTGGCATCTGAGCCGAAGCGACGCGATAAGTCTGGCTAGGTGGAGTGCTGGGATACTGAGCAGGATGCGCTCGTGTTGACGTTCTGTAAGGGTCAGGCGGTGGAGGCCCTAAGGGTTGGGGTTGCGAGTAGCCTTGAGGCGGCCCTCGATAAGTCGGCTGGGTCTGATAGCTTGATTGAGAATAGCCTTGCGCATGCTGATTTCGAGGACTGTCGTGCTGGCGGAGGCCACCCATTTGCAAGGGCTTTGAGATTGACGGTATGCTTCCTTCCTGTCAACCCGGCCGCCTGCGCGAGTGTCGCTGACGACATAGTCACTTTCATCAACCAAGATGGCCCTTAGTTAGTCTGCCCTCTTTTTCTTTGCTAGCAGCATTGGTTCCGTAGATCTTGTTCATGTACTCAGCGAACTTGAGATACGCGTCGCGCACCGTCTCAAAGTGCCTGACAGCCAGGTTGACGACGGCATCCGGCTTCATAATGGCATCGTGTCTCTCGCCATGAGCTTGGTATTCGGTAAATGCCAATGCAGTTTGACAGGCGTTGTGGATTTGACGACCATTCCAGGGTGATTGATGTAATGTTGCGTGGCGAATGCGGCAATTTCCATGACGTCGATGTCTATATGTCGCCCCTTCAACGCAAAACGTTCCCTGATCAGACCCAAATTGATCTTGAACACCTTGAGAGTTTTCTTCTCGCTCATTTCAGGGTAGTAGAGACTCATGTGGATGCGTGAATTGAAAGCCTCATCAAAGTCACCCACTCGGTTAGTCGTTAGGAAGAGAATGCCGGAGTAGTACTCAAGCACTCGGAGAAAGACTGAAGAAAAGGTTAGATCCGAAAGTTTTGAACAGAATGCTCCAGCGTACCTGCCACTAATCCGTTCCTTACAAAATCCTCTTTGGTTCGCTCGGCAAGGAATACGTCTGCCTCATCCAAAAGCAGAATGCACCCCCATCTGTTAGCCAAAGCAAAATTACTTTCGAGAGTCTGTTCAACCTCCTTTGCCGTAGTCCCCAAGTCACCTGTCTCAGCAAGTAACACAATCTAGGCCAAATCTCAGAAAACATACCACATGTGATTTGAAAAAGTGGGTTTCCAAACATCTCTGCAATCCCCTCTGTGAAATAGACATTTAGAATAAATCTGGATTGAGTTGTTCCTGATTAACTCACCTGAGTTCGAGGTTTTCCCTATTCCAGGAGCTCCGTGAAGTAGAAGGATTAGCCCTTTCCCTACATGTATGGTTAGGAGTGAATGGAAGATGATCCAGTGGGGCATAATTCTCATCTTTCCCTTTCACAACATCGACTTGGTCGTGAGGTCCTCCTTTAGAATCCTTGTCCCGGAAATGTTGAGATATCAAAGATTCGATCATGGACTTATGCCCAACTTCCAGAACGAGCCGGTCGAAAGCTGTTCTTCTGATGTTGCTTCTATTACTTCCGATGGCCGGAGGACTATCTCCGGAGTTTGCACGTTCTTCGGCAGAAGTCATGCTAGATAAGAAGTTGAGATCCAGTTGAGCTTGGCCACAGTATTAGTCAGCGTCTCCAACATTTGCAACTCAAGATGAATTCCACTCACCAAATTTCCGATTCGTAAAACGAAACCAAATACTCTGGATGAAAGAATCAAAAGCTCGTTCTCTGGAATGGACTTGCAGATGTCCCGAAAGGATGCCTCGTCTGATAGATCCTGGGGCAGCACAGCAACTGACAAAAGATCTTGTGCACCGGCCTTGGGAAAGAGGCTGTTGACATACTCGCGGGCTTGTCTGAAATCGATAAAGGTGTCATCTAGCACCCGATCGCCCAGGCAGCAACTTGCATCACAATCGTTGACATAAGCATAATCGTCCAGATTCATGCTGGGCAGTGCTTCTCTCGGATGCCAAGGTCTCTTCGGCGAACGCTGCCTCAAAGTCCACAACAACCTGTCCTTCAATGTCTTCGTGAGTGTCCAACGTTGAACCTCCGTAGAACATGTGCTTGGTTGCTATAGCATCGAGAAACTTTCTTCCGCGTAGAATGAGTTGTTGTCTGAGCAGAGACGTTTCGGGGCTGTGTACAGAGTCCGTTCGCTCCACGTCACTGAAGCTATCTTGGCGCTCTGAGTAGAATCGCAATCGGAAAACTTCAAAAGATGTGATTTCTTTTTCTCCCTCGTAAGGTTTGAATTCGAAGGTTCGCGCAACTGGCCCAAGTTTCTTTCCATCAAAGTCCAGGTATATGCACGTAATACCAACGTCCGGATGTGGTTTCTTCTCTTCGTCTTGAGATTTTGCTCACTTTTGGAAGGTCGAGATCGTGCGGTGTTTGGCAGTGGTGACGTGAATGACTCGATAGGCTTGTTTTCCGTCACTGCGAATGACTTCAAGACCAGGTCGGAAAATATGCCAAAGGTCTGAGAAGAACACTTTGTGGCATTTGTCCCCATTCAGATACTCGCGCCTGGCCAGTATTTGAGCCTTTGTGACTCGAAGAAAGGAACGGAGCTCTTCAAGAGAACTTGGTGACTTTTCAATGTCTTTGAAGTCCACCATATCCGAGTGTGTCTCATCGTCATCTTCGTCTTTAGAGTCTTCAAAGCCTGCCTGCGTTGTTATCTTATCTACGTTACTGACACGCCCTTGAGAAGTGTCTGTCTTTTCTAGAGAGTGGACATTGGCAGAGGACTGAACAGGTGATTGCGTATCCTTATCAAAGACTGCTTTTGTCGTAGCAACTTCGCCTATTGGTGCAGAATCCGTCGCACCAACCACCTCTAAATCATTAGATTCCTGTTCATTGATAATCTGAGGTATCTCAGCAACATCATTCAACTTTGTCGACTGCCTTCTAGCTCTTCTCTCCTTCGCAAGCAACCAACTGTCGAGACCTGGCTCACAGTGGCTGAGCGTCTTGAATGGGCGAGTAAATACGATAGGCTTTTCCGATCCTGCCGTTTGGTCTCATCATCTCCAGCAGATTTTAGAATCTTGTCGAGAACCCCGAGAACAAGTTTTGAATGCAGTCGAGTTCGTTCAGGTAGCTGGGCTTGGCTGGAAATACTTGGCGCCTGTTTGCTTTTCTTGTCGGCGCGATGACCAGGTTTGTGTGATCGGAACCAATCCCCTGCAAACGCCCAGTCGTCGAACACCACTGGGTCGCCCACGAGAATGTCCACGGCGCAGAAGGTGGCGTCATGGGACTCACGGCCCAGTTGTTGGAAGCATGCCAATTCACTGTCTCACCACATGCTGATTCTGACTTCTCGTAGATGCGCCCTCCGCGTTCATGCCGCTGTCATCTGTACTGCCCTTAGCATTTTTGCTCTGTGAAGCTTGCTTCTCGGCATCTTCGAGTTTTCGTCGTCTGCGTATTTCGGTTTCTTCGGACAACCAAAGCCTATCCATTCCCCACTCAAACGTCTTCCGTAACCGACTGCGGCGTGCGCTGTAGTCCACAGCATGGTCAAAGTCGTCCATTGTGTCGTCTGTTTTGTCTGCTTGGGAGCATTGATGTGATCGGCTGAAGGGATTTGGACGCTTGTATCGTTATTCTGTCTGTGCCAAGGGTACCACTCAAGGTGCCAAGGGCCATAAGCCCGACCCCGGTAGTCGTCCTTTATCTCTACCCGCATGCCCAAGTCTCCTACTTGAGCCTTGCTCTCCCATTCTTTTCTGTGGTTATATAGGCAGCGCGCCATTCGTTGGTATTGTGTCATCTCCTCAGTTTATTCTGGCGAATTTTGGGGGTCCTTGAAGTCCCCGGTTCTTTCCTGGTTTCCGGTTTCCAACTCTGAAATCTTTGCTTTCAGAACGCGGAGCTCTTCGGCGATGCCAGATTCAGAGAAGGCAGCGCCATGTCGACTGTCAGGCGCGACTTCGGACGGCTTTGGATTGGATTGACTAGCGCTATTCTCCTCTGGCAAGCCAGATTGAACAAATATCGGCTCTCGTAGATGGTCGTCATTGTGGACTGCACCGGAGGGACTTGGGGTTCCCATAGCTTCCAATGGCCTCTATAAGACTGCCAGCAAGTAACGTATGGACAGATACAGATTATGTAATAAGAGGAAGTAATGGTTCTAGAATGATGCCATGGTGCGTCGACGTTCAGAAGTCGGAAACAAAGTCGTAGAAGATAGAGACAGAGAGGACAGAAACTCGGAGGCAAGGTTCGCCCAAAAGATTCATATTAGCACTGGTTCCACATCAGGCTGTCACTAGGGACTCGAGCAATGACACACTGCATAACCGCTGTTTACTCATTCGCTGGCCTTGTCCTCCCATACTCATTTGAATTCCCTCACATCCTGCATATCACGATGCCCAAGCTCTAACATGAGAGGCTAGGCTGGTCGCACATGTCGGTGGAGGGCGCAACTGCATGCAAGCTGCACCGTTTACGAGACCACCGCTTATCGTAAGACAGACTTGCAGGAGCCGGAGCCTGCTGCCATCTCCACTGTGATTGATGATTCATGCAGAACTGATTTTCTAATAGTTTGACGCGTTTCTGCGTTCACACAGATCCTGTTCGTTTCATCAAAGCCGAATCTGGAGCGAGTAGCGGCTAAAGTTGCTTATGTGAAGGCATGTTTGTCCTCCCCCTGGGTCCTCTCGTTTCCATGAAGTTCTACATGAGAAAATCTTGTGTAATTCATGCCGGCGCAATCTTAAACCCATCTGAGGCGGACTTGATTGACCTTGGGCATTGATTCGTGCTATTGAACCATCAATCATGTCAATCAACGCCCCCCCACATACCTCAGTCAGCAAAAAAGCCAGCCTCTGTCTACTTCATTAACCGCGAGATGCAACATCATCATCAGGCTTTTTGTGACGCTCAGATTCATTACGATTCTGCACTATCTCGCTGTGAGCCCAGCACCGAAATCTCACCACCCTATTCGGGGACCGCATTTACTTTGCCTGAAGATTTACCTTCTACAGAAAGCCTTGAGTCTCGTCATCAGACTATGATGGCCAGATCAGAATGGACAGAAGTTAAGGCAATGGAGCGGTGGAACGAGGTGTTTCTGGGGGCAATGACTACATTCAAAAACACTTTCCCAGCACCGAAGGGCCATTCAGAGGTATACAACATTCGAACTGAGCACTACTGGGAAGCAATTTACGCAAAGCTTGAGAAGGCGCAAGCGAAGTACCAGAGTGATGGGTTGCGAGTTGACTGGTTCCGAGAGAAGCGCAGAAGCGCAGCAGACAACGCTTCGTGGTGTCATAAGTCGTGGGGAGTGTGTCGGCACTAGTATCAGATACGGTGTTCTCGACTCCGATTTTGGGAGTTGCGCAAATCCTTCTAGACGTAAGACATCAGTGTGAGTCAAAGAGCAAATACCATTACTAACTTGAGGAGGCTGTCAATAAAGGAGCAGAAGTTCGCGCCCAGGCTTCCGAGGGGCTTGATGGCCTCATTCCCATCTTCTCGGATGTTGAATTGCTTGTGGCGGTCTATCCGGGCGACAGGAACATACAGAAAGCTTCTTTAAGCCTCGCAATTTTGACATTGGAAGCTGTCGAGCGATTAACTGGGTTCTTCCTCAGCAAACCAAGCAAGTCACCTCAATGAAAAACCTGAACAATGTCTTGAAAGTCAATGCTCCAGCTCGAATTGCTGACCTTATGTTCTATCATGATTAGTTGTGCGATTCGGCAAGACCTTAGGCCAAGGAAGCTACAACGAATCAGACCTGGTACAAAGTCTGCAAACCATTAACCAAAAAGTGGAAAGGGTCGTAGCCGAAACTACAAAATCTCATCAATTTGAGACGCGCTCTGTAAGAATATTCTGCCAATATTGTGTTCGGGATAGGATCAGAAACTAGGATTTGCTTTCGGGGCAAAGGAAAAGTTCCTCTTGTTTCTCTCACGCTTAAATCCCCACTATAACTCATTCTATTGCTATGCGTGAATGTCCTGTACTCCTTGTTAGTCTAATTCCGTCTCCTCAATGGGTTGATGTTTTATAGGTATATATGAAGCTAACAGCTCGAAGATTCTCAAGACACGATAAGATTGGCACGGAAGGTTCATCTCGGAAGGTTCATCACGACAATCAGAAAACAAAGTTCGAAGTGCAAACAAAGATGGCTTCGATGTACACAAACGTCATGGCCCTTCTTGATGGCCATACGCAGAAGAAAGACAGTATGTGAACAGTTGTTTGGTTGTCATAATTGAGATTAGTCAATTGCTCTGTCTTGTATATCAAGTGGAACTCATCTAACACAATGGAATATTCAGGAGAGCTTCAGGAGGAAAGAAAAAGAGGTACACCTAAGTTATTTCCGAGGGAATAAGAAGCGCGACTTTTCTGACAATGTGAAACCAGGTCTTGCTGTAGAAGTGGCTTCTCTGCGTGTGGAAAACACCTTTCTGCGAAGTACGTCACCAGGGCTGCAGCACACCTGGGGGCCATACACGCCTCCGCGGCCACAGAATCAACCAGCCTTGGAATGGGTTGTCACCAAGGAAATGCTCCAAGAAACGCTGCGAGGCCACAATGCCGACATTGATGAATCTTTCGCGTTGAGCAAGGCGTTGGACTTCCCGTCTCGGGAGCGCTCCCATGCACAGCACATTGTCAGCAACCGATTGTTCCAGGATTGGATAGCCTCACCGCACTCAACCAAGCTTTTGGTACATTGGGATGGGCGACTCCCGAGAACGATCGCTGATCTATCGCCCCTGTCTCTGTTCTGTACATCCATGTCACAGATGTTACGTGGTCATCCACGCTTCATACCTCTCATATGGCTTTGTGGTCTCCATCTTGATCCGGATGAGAGCTCAGTGGGTGGTGGCTCCATGCTCTGCAGCCTCATTGACCAGCTTCTGCGTCGACATGAATTTGACTTGAGTTCGATAACAACAACTGGAGCTGTCGATTTCAACCTCTTGCAGGCTGGCGACGACAAAGAGTTGTTGCGCTCACTGTACTTCCTGGTTCTTCAGATTCCAGACGCCATCACCCTCGTTCTCCTCATAGACAACGTCGTGCTTTACGAACGAGAGGAGATGAATGCTTTCGATGCTTTGGCCGGTCTATTAGGAATGGTCAGTGAAAGGTTGCCAGCAGCTGTTAAGCTTCTCTTCACCAGCACACCAGGGACTATTGAAGTGAGAGGTGCACTCGGAGACGAGGGTCTGATTTTAAATGTAGATACGTTGCCGTCCCTTGTATGGGCTCCCAGCGATGAGCGCGTTGCGAGAGAGTTGGAAGATACGGTTCAAGAGTCATGGTCTGTGTACTCCGAATTTTCTCCTTCAGAGTATTTGTTGATAGTTATCATTACTCTCATTAGCTTTTACTTCAATATCTGACCGTACATAGCACCGCTATTCCATACGGATTTCCTGAACTTCCCACGTCCTCTCAACCACAATTCCAAACTCTCCAAGGAAATTCGCAGCACCCTCGGACATCGGCATCTCCTTCTTTCTCCGAAACGACGTGATGTTGACTTTTGTTGAGCCCTTGTTGTTCAGCGTCAAGTCCGTCTGGTCGTCCTGGGCACCCAAAGCTGACGGCGGCAGCCCTTTCTTCTTGCCGAAGAGTTTGAAATTGCTATCCAGAGAGCCGCTCGTTCCCGTCCGATTGACCCCAATCAAGTCCACCTCGCTTCCGGATCGTTGATGGGAGAACTGTTGTGCAGGGTCCTGTGACATGACTCCTTCCGTAAAAGAATCTCGTCGGTTCGTTGGCAGACTTCGCGACAACAAGGAGTTTACTCGGCGGTCTCGAAGATGACGAATTGTTGCAAGAGATGCGGTGGTGACGCCGATGCCGATTTCTGCGATTGTCCAGCACGAGGTGCTCATGTAGCCTTTCGGGGGCACGTGTCCTAGACTCCAGATACGACCGGCGGAAATTATGGGAACGCTAGTCACTTGTCAGTCATGAATAGACAGGAGAAATGGGAACCGAATCAACTTACATTGCGCCAATTCCGAAGACGCCGAACACAGCCCAGATCTGGCGTCCGCGAAGTTTTAAACTCCAGAGAGTCGGGAAGGGCAGAAACAGCACAATGACATCCGTCACCATAGTTCCTGTAGCGTTGATATACGTCGATACGAACGTCGGTAGACACACGACTCCCTCAACGTCCAGACTCCAGTTGGCCTGGATGGGAACGCAGACCAACACCGCCAGAAGGATCTGGGTGATGCTCCAAGCTCCAACAACGAAGATCGCCACCATGTAGACGATTCTCATGACACGAACGTTCCTGAAGATCTGATAGAATTGGAACAAGAACGTCATCTTGAGCGAGGCCATAGCCAAGTTGTAAGTAATTGCGGTTGCGTATGGGATCTATTCATCAGGTTAGGCCATGGCTCGGTCATGGAGAGATAGTCCATACCCTGGAGCCTGCATTATTCGAAATCATGGATGTCATCTCAGGCAGATAACGCATCGTGAAGACACTTTGCATGACGTTGACGGCAATGACACACAGCTGAAATCTTGTCAATAAACCTGGTGCGACCAATCGAGAGATAGTCATCGTACCAATGCAAGCAATGCCCAAGCGTCGTCTACCCGAACCCTTCGAATAACGAATTTGTGTGTGTAAAGTCGGGCGATGACGGATACCGTGGTGATGATTGTCACAATCGCGCCAAATGCGACGGTTGCGCGGGCTTGGCTTGCGCTGTAGACGAAGTCTTCCTGAACGGGAGGCCCGCCACTCGGCGGTGGTGAGGCCGACGGCCCAGCCGCAGCGGAGGATGATAGAGGCTCGGCCATCTTGTCATGAAGAGACAAGACGGTTGCCGCTCAACGGACCCAGAGGCGAACCCATGGAGTTTTTGAGCAAAGACTCTCGCACTCTGCAGACCAACGAGAGTGGAGGAAACAAGCTTGTCTTAAGGAGGCAGGTGAAGACTGGCGCAACACTTTAGTGAAACAAGGGGCCGGCACAGGCAACATGCTTGCAAAGGATTCGCTTTAAACGGATCTGACGAGCCGTGCAATATAGACTATATTGCGGGCCATACGGAAATCTTCCCTCATTTGGGCTCTGAATATCCGTTGGGCAAACCAATTTGCGAAGTACGAAAAGCGGCTCCATCACCCCGTATCCTCACGTTCGTCTTTTGTCAAGGGTCCCCCCCACTCTCAATGGGACCAGCACTGACAAGTGACACCACGTTTAGCCAATCCCACGCCGATCTTCCGAAGTTCGGTTGGGCATGTTCTTCAACTCCTGGTTGCAACGGTTGCAATCGGAGTTGGTGCGCTTCCCATGACACACGATGGTGGGCTGGCTCTCATCCACCCTGCCTGGCCTGCCATCCAAAACATCGTCGAATATCGAAGCCATCAAAAAGATCAAAAACATACAACAACAGGCATTCGCCGGTCGTCACCGACCCGACTACTACTCTATCCCTCATCGGCTTATCTATGGGAGAGCGGACGGGATCCCGAGTTCTCCGGTGGGTATGGTCGTATGTGATGAACATGCGATCATGAGTTGCTTATATTGCAAAGCCTCGATTCCTTACCACGAAGCCAGCAACTTTGGTCCTTGATCTGCGATGCAACGAAACATTGAAAGAGGCATGCTGACGCAAGCTGATCATGTTTCTCTTGGTTGAAGTGGACTGAAGTTTCTCTGGGCATTGTTGGCTTGGCTTCTTGTCAGGTTTGAAGTCCCTTGAGCGACTCAGTCTTAGCCCCCCGCACGTCACCAGCCTGACTGGAATTCACAATCTTCATTGCCGCATTTGCCTCCCAAAACCCGAGTCATGCTGCATCACCAGTCTGCCCACCAATTGTAACCTTTCCAAACATTTAGCAGCCTCCATTTAATTGCCTCAGATCTTGATTATTCGAAATGGGGGCTTTGCCCGAACGTTCAATCGCACCAATTCTGCAATGGAACCGTGCCTTGAACCATCGTCAGCCCTGGAGAATTGTGTCACCGCAAATCAAGGTCACAATCGCTTCGATCTTCATGGCAGCGGGATTGTGGGGGGCCACGCGAGTTGAGGAGCTTTCGCCTGCCCGCTTTCCGCCACACCCATCCATTTTGCATACCCAGTTAAGATTTTGGGGGCAAGTCCACAATTCATTCGCACATCCTCGAGGAAGACTCGTACGTTGATTTCTCTTAGTGCACGCTAAGTTTCCCGCCCATCTTAGACTGTCTCAGGACTTGGGGTGGAAACAGCTAGTTCAACCGTCCCCCGATGCTGGAGCAGAACCACACGGGCCCATGGAGATCGGCATGGGAATACACAGACTCTTCATCTGCGATATATCCGAAGCCGCCGCGCAGCCTGATCGTTGCTCCGCAGAGCAATCCGATTATCTGATTCTGAAAAGACTGGGTATTTGACATCGGTATCCGCTTCGTCGATCTTCGAAGACTTCGATCTCCTTTTCTCATACCGAGGCTTCGCAAGACACGAAAGCAATGGAGCAAATGAAAACTGGACTGCAGACGTCAAGAGGTGCTAATATTACACAAGCTTTAAGGCTGATCGGTCTCAATTAAACCATCCCAAATTGACGGATTGTCTAACCGGATTTTCTCCTTCTCCATCCGGCATAACCCCGAAACAACGACAGCGGGATTCCCAAACGAGAAGGTCAGCAATTACGTTCTGAATCAAGAAAATCATCAGAATTCATGCCTGTTGGTATGCCATGGAGTCCAAAAGTTAAAGCACCCAGGGTACTTGACGGTCCTTGCCCCTGAGCCATCGAGGACCAATGCTAGGGTTGAAGTTCAACCGCCCTCTGCATCGCGGTCGATGGATTCACTCTCGACAGATCGCATCTCGAGGTTGACCTCATTGGACAACGCATGTGTTGAGTCACGCTCCCAATGCCGGCTCCTCTCCAAATGGGATTGCCGACGCAGAGCTGATCACACTGGTGGAATACGACGACGATTGATACGGAAAAGTGACGAGATGTTATCACTATCGAGCGCGGTCGGACTTCAAACTCAAGGTGTGACGCGCGGGGGCTCCAGTCAATCAACAAAGATCGACGTTTTTGTAGCCTTCTTTGATTCATGTAGTTGAGAGAATTCGGGAAAAAAGCGGAAAATTGTGTGCAGATCTCTTATCCTGCAGTCCACCTACATGCAATGGGATAAGGCTGCGACTGAGGGATTAAGTTTCAAGCTGGTCGAATGACGAATCTGGACCAAAGTCTGCGTGAAGATGGTTCACCGTCCAAATTTGGCAGATGACCTACAGAATCTTCGGTGGGATCTCAAGAAATGTCACTCATAGATTCCTTGTGATTGGCCATGATGACTCGAAGTTGCGACAAAGTGTCAAGATCCCCTGGGACGATGAAGATCACGGAGAGTAAACAAAAACCCGGGTGAGATTGTTCACTAGGAGTCCATGTCCCGTTGCATGAAGAGATCGATCATGTTTTAGACGAATCTTGCTCCCGAACTTCTATGTCCCCATTTGGCTAATTGAAACATGCCAAAACTACGACAGAAGAGTCTGTACGGAAGCCTTCACTGCAAATTATGTTCAACCTTCCTGGAGTACTCAACCAAATCACTCTCCCACGTGGCCTGGAACGTTCAGTCCTGTGTCTTTTCACCAGCTTCGTCCTCTCGATGAGCCCGAATGACAAAGAATTCCATGTTCGAGTCAAACGCAGCTCCTTCTCGGACAACCTTGAACCCCTTTTGCCGTAGCAAATCTTCGATCTTCTGTCTATCTCCAGAACTCTCCGTGGTCTCTAGCACAATATTCCGGATGAATTTCCAGTGCTCTTCATCCACACCCCGTAATACCCCGAGTTCAGAACCCTCAACATCCACCTTCAACAAGTCAATCCTCTCAACCCCGTCCAAGAACCGAGACAGCTTTTCAATTTTGATGTCTAGAAACTGCGGGTTTCCAAAGTTTGTGTCCACAAACTCCTGTCCAAATCTCTCAGCAATAGCTTCGTAAGTCGACTTCTTTGTTTCAGGCCTCAGAGTCGAGTTACCGGGAAAGGTAGGATAGAACGTCAGCTTCTCTGCGCTGGCTGCCGGGCCGAGACCGCACTGGTGAGCCTCTACTCCTGAGATACCATTCAGCTCAAAATTGCGGTGCAAGGTTGCGAAAGATTCGGGCGCTGGCTCGAAGGCGATGATATTTGCGGTAGGGTATTTCTTCTTCATGTAGATGGAGAAGAGCCCGATGTTGGCACCAGCGTCTACGATGACGGGATTCTCGGACAACTTCGACCCATCGTAGCAATGCTCTTCCCAAATCTCGTTATAGATGAAGCGGGCTTCCGTCTCCCCACTGGTGTAACAGGATAATCCGTCGGCCAAGTTGATGAGTTCCGCCGTCATGCCTAATGTGATAGCGCTTCTATCGGAAATGGTAATCAGAAGTTGCAGCGTATCAATGAGACGTGAAGTCTATTATCATTGACCTAGCAGGGAGTGTGAGAATGCTTTGGCAAAGAAGCCAGAAATGCGGCTGTACTTGGGTTTTTAATACCGAACCAAACGACCAAGGGTCTTCCGGTAATATCACAGAGAAAGCACGTTGCAATTAACGCCCGATAATGGGCTGACATGAGGAGCCTGAGTATGCACCAATAGGCCCGGAACGAGATCCATGCTAACCCCTCAATACTACAGGGGAAAAGAGGACTCTGCGTACTTATCAAATCATAACCAACGGCATAAATGGTGCATTAGTGCTGACGACGGATCATAGACCCCGCGCCATTGACGGAAAACACGACTTCGGGTCATTGCGTCGGCTTGAAGGTCGTCACTTTCCCACGTGGTGCTTTCAAGTTTTTGGCATCTTGCAGAATGGTTCTGAGTACGTGTCGTGTTCCATATCTAATTAACCTCCTGAAATCAACAAATGCGAAGAAGTTTTGTCAATATATATGTCAAATAAAATGTCGTAATTACATATTGACTATGACGCTAATGAAATTGTCCATTGTGGAGGACAGGTGCGGATACGGATGTCGACGACAAGAACGACAGACGACAGCCGGAATGTTAAGGACGAATGAGGCAACGGAATGGAGGTTTAACAAAAATAAGTAGACATGTAATATATCGCCCGGTTAGCTAGAAGCATCTGCCCAAATGAGAACGAAAATGACTCCAAAACTTCAATCAGAGAGAGCCAATTTGAGACTGGACTTTGTCTATCCCAACTCAGGTAGATGGCCGGTCTGTACGCGTCGACACAGCTTTCAATTGGTTGACGATGAGCAACAGGACATTCTACCTCCCAGAGGGTCTCTGGGTGTTCGATTTCTAGCGTCTTTCATTTTCGAACATGAACCTTGCCGAGGCGACATAGACGACAATGCCCTAGGCATAGACAGCCGAGAAGGTCTAATAAGCAGTCAGCGGTTCTGTCTTTGCGAAGTAAGTTTCCAATTCAAGTGTTGCGATCATATCCTGAATCGAAAATCGTACCACAATTTCTTTTGAAATTGGCCACACCCAGAAGCGTTCCAATAGGCACCTTGCGGTCCACAACCGTATGTAGGCACTATAAAAGATTTACACATTGAGTGACGCTTTGATTGCGACACCTAAACTACATGCGCCTCGAGATATGCCGTCAATTGTATCGAAACGAAATGGTTAACATCCATTCGCCAGTTGTTCGAGCCGTATTGACGGCGAGCTGCCACAGTTTCTTAATGGCGACGAACCACGAACTCGGCAATTATGCAAATACTCATGAGCGGTGCATCCGCGCCAACCATTTGTTGCTTTAAGCGACCACATCTCTCGGTAGCCCAGTCTATGTTAATCATTATAGGAGTTCCGCGTGGTCACACGAATATAAGTTGACCCTGTTCCCTCCTGACAGAACCAATCTTAAACACTCTTTGCACAACGACAAGCGCTCACCTTCGACCCAATCCCAATCATCGTTACCGCAACCATGAGGATTCCAATTTTGCACCTATCCTTATGGCTTCCGCTAAGCACTTTCATCGGTACCATTCTTGGACAGGATGACCTGGGCACCAACAATGGCTTTGTGGATATCGAGACATCCAACTTCAAGGCTCGAATTGTGCGAGACGCTCAAATTTTAGCGTCTCTGAAGTCCAACGGGAGTGATTTCGACTTCCTCCCTTTCGACATTCTGGGAAACCGTTCTCGTAACGGACAATACCACTGGGGTGATGTTACCTACAGATATCGAAATGAAGGCGACAACAGCTGGATCGATGGAAATTCTGCCCAAACCCGCAGGCCTGTCGTTACTCTACCCCCAAATGATGGGGTTCTTGCCGCCGCAGACCTTTACTCTACGCTTCCCTCCGGGCCGCTCAATGTGACTCGGAAATGGCTAAATGTCGACGGCGATCTCGCCCTGCGCTTCACCTTCAGCAACACTGGGAACTCCAGCGTTGAGATCGGTAGTCTTGGCTTTCCCGCTGAGTTCAACAGCATTTTTACACACCACCACCCGGCAGACGCAACAGCGGCCTGTTCTCTTTCCGAACCGTATATCGGCATGGACGCTGGTCAGATTCGCGTTACCCCTATCAAAGGCACAGGACCCGCACTCGTTGTTACGGCCCTCCAAGGAACCAAATCACCCCTGGAAGCCTACCGAAACCTATGGGAAATGGGCTACGAAGGATCTTCCTATTCAAGCCAGACTTTTGAGGGTTTCTACGAATGGCAAGTGCTAACAAAAGCATCGGCGGAGAACGAATGGGCCGTCCAGGGGGCACACGCTTGGAATCCTCCTTCTTCCCGAAAACTGGAGCCTGGATCAAACCTTCAATTTGGAGTGAGATTCACAATCGCCCCGGAGGGCGTCCGATCCTTTTGGTCGTGCACCGTCTGTCATGACCTACGATTGCGAGAGCGATTCAGTAGTGACGCAAGATCTTAGGACCTGGGTAGCCGGACTGAGTGACGAGGGTGGAGCTGGAGCTTACATTGCGGCTGTCGTCAAGCAAGTTGTGCATCCCGATGCGGACGAAGTTGCAAAACTCGACACGTTTGTGAACAAGGTGGTTTGGGGTAACGTCCAGCAAGAAGATTCCGCCGTACGGAACTCCCTATTCTTCTACGAGCCAGCTGAGGTGCCCGGTTTTGTGTACGAGAACTTTGACTGGAGCTCTTGGATGTCTTGGAACAAAGGCCGGGCGCTTGCCACCGACAGAGGCTACAACTACGTCCACCCCTCTGCAGCATACTGGTCCCTCTATAGAGTCGCAAGAGCCTACTCAGAGCTTGTCAGTCAGGACTGGAGCTGGTATCTTGACAAGGCTTATCGAACGGCTCTCCGCATTTCGGGTGGTGGTGTTGCTTGGGTGGAGATGGGACTTATGGGCGAAACTGTTTGGGGTATGATCATGACTGATCTCGTTCGTAAAGGTTTCGAAGATGAAGCCGCCACTCTTGCGGCACTCATGAAGTCTCGCGCCGAATACTGGAATTCCATCGATGCCCCTTTTTGGAGTGAGATGGCATGGGACTCTACTGGGCAGGAGGGCGTCTACTATTGGGCTAGGTGAGTGCGATGACAATCCCTGAGGAATCCCACCGACTCACCATTATTTCTCAGGCACTTCGGCTTCACGGACTTGGCTAAACGAACAGTTGATACCGTACTTGGTTTCACGCCTAATGTGCCGCACTGGGGCTGGAACGGCAATTCGCATCGATACTGGGACTTTGAGTAAGTACTGCCAACCGCACATTGGTCCGTTTGAACGTCTAAGAAACGAGCGATTCTAACATATGTACGCCAGTCTCGCTGGGAAGCTACGACGACTTGAGCGCCAGATTCACCACTACGGATCCGCTCTGAACTCCCAAGTCCTACTCTCGGCTTTCGGCGATGATCCCTCCGACTCTTATCTCCTGTGTACCGGTCACGGTGGAAGCTTTGCACCACTTTCGAACATTAACGAGGCCGGTTGCCCGAGCGCTGGGTTTCATTCGTTTCCCTGAGACCTTGAAGTGGGATGGCTTTACCGGCGACTACGGTCCGGGCTTTCTCGGCATGATCTTGAACACGGGAACATACGTAGCTGAAGATGAGCAAGTCGGCCCTGTGGCCTACGGCGGGGAAATCACGACCGACGGCAATAAGGTGACGGTTCTGCCGCGTGATCCTGTTAGAAAAAGGACATTCATTGGTCCTCTGGCAGTCATGGTCACAGTCGATGTGGGCGTCATTCAGCAGCTTTCTTACAATGTCGAAGCAAGGACCATCTCCATGACCTTGTCGCAGCTTGCGGGCGTCCCGAAGGCCATGAATGCAACTGTGTGGACGGAGTCGATGCAATCGCCTTGGGAAGTCACTGGTGATCAGGTTGAGACGGCCCGCGGCGGATGGAGAGTTCCTCTAGTCGAAGATAAGGTCACCGTTACCTTGTCTTCAGAGTTGGCTTGAGGGGCCAGGCATTTGGTGTGAATTTTCGTTCTTAAGGGGAGGTTGTTCGTATTACTCTGCTTGTGGTTTGATGTAAACACTCAATACAAATGGACTAATTGAAGTCGCCTGAATGCGTCATCCGATAACCTCAGTGCTCTCTCTGCCTACACATCTGTTTGACACTCACCCATAGCGTCCAGCTGAGGCCCTAGTGATACTCACATAGAATTGAGGCAACCACATGAGCTATTAAACTTTTATTTAAATAAATCCTTAACATGAATATTAACCCTAAAGTGTTCGCTAATGTGCGCAATGTCTAAGTCTAAATGCGCCAAGTGGTGCCTTAATTATTCCTTTGAAATCCAAAACCCATCCCTCAGGTTGCCGTTATGTTGCTCCGAGATAATGATTACTGTGCAATAATGCGACGTATCTTTTCGTGGACATCTCAATTCATGTCTGTGACACCCAGTCGCCTGTCCATAGTGAAGCTTTCGAATCAGCACTTGTGACGTCCCAACCATTGGAACTCGGTAATGCACTTCGAGCGCACGAGACCACCACCCAAGCTGTTCTTGTTGTCGGCGCATCCACAGCCTAATTGTGGGCACCACTTCGCACAGCGCCCATTAGGGTCTTTCAAAAGTTAGCATAGACTTCGGATGACAGCCGGGAGGTTAACGTACAGTAGCATTGAATCGCGCTGGCAGGGCAGGTGCGGGCAAGGACCGGCGGCGCAGCCAGCAATAGGGCAAAAAAGGCGGCAGCGTTGATTTGCATTGAGATGATTAATGTTGACATTGGATATCAGCGAAGTTGTTTTCTGACGCCGTTGATGAGTGATTGGGGCTGAAGATAAAGAAAACGGGATGAGAAACGGAAGACCCTCTTATAAGATTCAAGTTATTGATGTTCCCACAATTTGGGAAATGGTGGTTTATGGCACTATACATCTAGCTTTGATGGTGTTGTGTAGCGCGGGATGGGCGGCCGAGATATGGGTCACTGCAGTCAAAACATTTCCTCTCATCACGGTGAGACATCACGATCTAGTGAACTTCGGGACGCGTCGACGTCCTTCTCCACGTCAGTCATCATCCACATACCGCGCGTAGTTCTATTCGCAGTAACGCCATGAAATTGCCGGGCAGAATTTCGACGCGCTTCAGCAAAACAGTCCACCACACGTGCAGTATATTGATATGATAGACGAACACTTAACAAAAACCATTTAAAGTATTGAGGTCCCGAGGCTGCCGTTTAATGGCGAGATGGTGATGATCTTCGATAGATGGACCCGGACGGGAGATCCACATTCACGACATTCACGAGTCAGCATATTGGTGTTTATGCCACCAAGTGGTACCGGCAAGCCCGTGGGATTCGGGAAACCGTTCTTTCTCCTTATTAAGTGCCAAAGGGTAGTCCTGTCAGACGTTGAGCGCAGTGCGCGGTCCCCGATGGGAAGTTGGGGAATAGCAACGTGTTCCCTGTCTGGGAGACGGACTGAGCGAAGCCGGCGTTGACGACAAAAATATCCCAATGGGAAATGTGCACGGCCAACTTCTGTGCCGCTTTGTATGGGAGATTTCCTCAAGGGGCAAAAGTTCTCCATTGGCGGGCAATCCTCCCACCTTTGCCTACAATATCAGAAAGATTATCACACTGATTGAGAGCCGATTCGCTTGAAACCGGTTTGATGCTTTCATCTCCCCGCTATTTGCTTGTCTTGTAATCAGAGTCTCTGTAGAAAACAGATCCTGAATTGGCTTTGCGTAAGATTGTGAGCAGGTCAGTTGCGTACCTAATGTTGAACTCGCCATAAATGTACCTGCATCCATTATTTAAGACAAGGTTAGTATTTGCACCTGCCAACCCCTCCATTTAGTACGCAAATAATAAGAAGCTCGAGATCGTTTTCCTCTGCGACGTGCTCTGGGCACATGAACAGACTACTCTCATAAAGTGTAATGAGGTCGAGACTGCTCTTGAGTCTTTGGTCGCACTTTTTGTTAGACTCCGAGACCGAGACTCTCCATTTACCAATTTCGCGTATATATTGGCTGGACTGAGCTTCCCTCAGTTGATCGGGTTTGCTCCATAGGCCCTTTCAAGGTTGATTAATGTTGTGCCAATGGCCGCCTTGCCGGGAACGAACCTTGGTGGAGACGTTGGTCAGTGCTATGTTCTTGACTCAATGTCCATCCTCCATGACATGTGTAACCATTCAACACGGATAGCCCGGAACAGAGTAATTTAAAGCAGTCTCATGGCAAAAAATCACCAAACCTTGCTCCCTTCACGCACTACAAGTCCCGCGCCTCAGCCCTATTAAAAGGCCACAAAGACAGGATCGTCCCATCTTTTGGGACAAGCCGACGTAGCACGAGTATGTTCGACGTAACCCTGCCTGTGTGCCTGGACCTCTCTGTCTGAAAGCTGACTCGGTTACTTGACTGTCCGACAGTGTCGGATGAACGCCAACTGCACATGGCCCTGGCTGAGCATGAGACGATCGCCCCAGGAACATTCCGTTGTGTCATTTATCTGCAACTAGGTAACACTCACCCGGCGTTGTGTTGATTGGGCCCTCTCTCGCGTGAACTTTAAAAACTTAGACAGAGCAACTATTCGTGTATTTCTTGCCCAGAACTGAATATATAAACCCTACATGCCGGTGAGATGCGCGGTAAAGAAGGGACTTGTGCAAGTTAAGCCATTCCAACCCCATTCGTCACTTCCGATCTAGATCAATTACACTTCGAAATAAGCTTAGCACCATGCATTTCACATCGACAACCTTCTTCCTCGCCGCAGCCGTCATCCTGCAAGGCGCTACAGCTCAATTTTGCACGGGACCCCCCGCAGATTGCAACTTCGAGGATGTGAGTATTACGTTGGGTGTTTCACTACTCTCATACTACAGAAATGCTGACGAGTTTACTTTTAGTGCCGAATCAACTATGCTGATCCGTGGGCGGACTGCAAAACGAAGGTACGATATCGGTCGACTTTTAGTAAACTACAAAACATGAGTCCAAATTGGATGCTAACCCAGGGTTTTTAAGTGCACCCCCAACTCGGGTAGAGATGCTGCTGTATCCTGCTGCTCTGGGGCTCTGTACTGTCCCGCTTAGTTTTATGGAGAGCCAATCACGTTCAACAACAGAGAGTTGCGACTGAGGGCACTTTACTTCATAGACTGTTCATATCTATTTAAATTATTGATTTTCTAAACCATAAATGTTCAATTTTGTAACGTAGTTTCTCAACGCCCAAATGACTGTCGGGTGTTGACTCTGTCAATGTCATATGGATTGCCATCATAAGACTTGCGGCGGGAAGACACGGCTGTGCCACCACTCATAGTCCGAGGCCGATGTGTGTTCAAAGCTGCGTATGTGGGCCCATCCGATGTCTCTTCGGTGTCAACCGCAGCCTCAGCCGAACTGGTTTGCTCGGGTTCTTTTTCCTCTGAGCCTGATGAGTCTTCTTGGCGAAGCCGCGCCATGAAAGCCTCGGACTCTGCAGCAAACTTGCAGCGAGATCTAATCGCAGCTCCATACTTATAAAATAGGAATGGAAATGGGACACACGCAAGTGCCAGGAAAGCTGGGATCGATGACGCCCAGTTGGTACCAAGGTCCGCGTACATGTATGACGTGAAGAGAGGAAACGCAGCGCCAAAACAGCTACGAATGACTGAGTTGGCGGCAAGAACGGACGCCGCAAAGATCGTGTAGGCGTCGATGAGGTAGTTCATGATACTCAAAAAGAGTAGAACCATTCCGAAACCAAATGGAATGCCGGCTGCGATGCTAACGGCCCAGTGAATCGAGGTTTGGTTTGTCCAAGCAAACCAGAATAGACCAATAGGGACAGCGACGCATCCGACCATCGCTGGTGGAAGTCGGGCTTCCGGTGGCGCATAGCCGTTGTTCTCTTCTTGAACTCGGTTATAGCGACCATTTGCCGGGATAGTATAGATGATGGCGAAGATCATACCCACCATTACGCCTAAAAATGCTAAGCCGCCGATTCCTTGAGACCAACCCCGTTCTTGCTGGTATACGATAGGGAAGGCGGCGAAAAGCATGTAGAGCGTTCCGTAGATGATGGCCATGTAAAGACTGAGAAGGAAGACAATTGGCTCCCGGAACAGCAAAATCCAAGGACGCAGCAACGCGTTTCTGAAAGACTCTGCAAGCTTGACTTTGCCCTGATCATGCTCCATCTTGCTCATATAACACTTTCCTGTCATCTTGGACAGTTTCGCCGCCCTTTGTCGAAGCAAGTACGGAGCATACGTCTCAGGCACAAGAGCAGTCCCTACAAGCCAAAGAGTCCCAGAGAAGGCCGCTAAGAACCCGAGAACCCAGCGCCAGCCAGCGGCAGCTCCGAGAAAACCACCTGCAATAGGACCGATGACGGGACCGAGGAAGGGTGCGGCTGCAAAGAGCGCCATCGCCAGACCTCTCTCGGCTGCCGGAAACATGTCTGCGATGACGCCGCCCGAGTTCGCGAGAGGTGATGAGCCGAAAGCACCGGCGAAGAAGCGCAGAATGATCAAAGTCCTAGCACTATCCGCTCCAGCACAACCAGCGTTGAACGCTGTCAACACCATATACGTGCCGAAGAAAAGGTATTGTCTGCCGAAGAGTTCACTCAACGGGGCCCACATCAGGGGACCGATAGCAAAACCGAGCACGAAGAGTGAGACGCCAAGGGTAGCGACGATTTGCGAGATTCCGAACTCTTCAATAATCTCGCGGATGCCTCCAGTATATGCCGAGGAAAGCAACGCCACTGCCAGTGTTGTAAGAGATACCATCATTGTGATGAACCACTTCTTTGGTTTGCTCCAGCCCATGGGGTTTCGAGGGTCGTTGGGGATCCATTGGACCAGGTATGGGTCTTGTTCGGTGCCAGAGCCGGCATACTTGTGGTTGAGGACCTCTGGTGTGATTCCAGCTTGGTCGGCAACCAAGCGCCAATAGGGAATTCTTGTCGGGGCAACGACCTCGCCGCCATCTTTATCCTTCATACTGGGGTTGTTCTCGAGTCGTCGGTCAGATTGGGGAGCAGATGCGCGGGGCAGGCAGCTGCAGGCTCGAGTCGTGATGTTGCCAAGGAGTGGCGGAAGAGGTAAGATGTTGCTCAGAAAATCTTGCAGATGCTTGCATTCATGGGAGGGATGCTGTACTTGAAGGGTCCTACGTTATGACCAGGGGGAGCAGCCCGATACGGCGACTGCATGTAAATCGGCATACGGTTGGGAAAGAGCGCCGGAATCCCGCTTTGAGCAGAGTGTCATGTAGCACGAGACTCGCTCATAGCCTCTTCATAATTACTCTAGCGAAATCATGTCCAAGTCGCCTGCACGGAAGGGAGCGGACAAGATCGGTCTTAAATCCGGGCGTGGTGCCCTCGGATCGTGCATACCTAGCACTCGCCTGAGTTATTACCTGATGCAGGTTTTAGATCCCCCATCTGCAGCGCCTTAGGTGACGACACCATTCCGCTGACTCTGTTTTTGTCATTTGTTGCCGGTCAAGGTGGTGTTAGTGGAGCCCGGCAGACAATGATTCACCTCCGCCGGTCTTAAGTCCGGACCCTAGCGCCCTTCTAGGTGGTCCGGAAGGATAACTCCCGATTGTCGTGCATAACGTGCTTATCCAGTGCACTATTCGACACATTCTCCAGTTTTCTCACTAATGTTGGCAATGGAACTTGGCTCTTCCGGTACATAACCATTCATAAAATACCGCCGGCTTTCATTAGCTCCCATGCTTGCCGTCATTCTCAACATTCTCTCCTTCTATTATAAATGCGAACCGGCTTTCTGGAATCATTTGAGATCTGAAGCCCGCTCTACATCATGAGATCTCTAGTGCGACCCTAAGGTTCACCAATAAAGCTTGACCATGTTGCCCAGGTCCCACGTGTCGTAGAGATATGTCCGCACCACCACTCGGAGCCGATGTTTGTGGTCGTTCATCCGGTTACTTGGCTGTTCCCATAAACCTTCTTTCCCCGCCATAACGATCCCGACTTTCGGAGCCGTCATTACACTGTTCTGAAGAAAGATTGATCATGCAAGCCGGAGTTCGGCAACCGTCTGGTCAAGCGTAGCGTCGGGTCAATCAACCAACACACTGCTTATGTTTGCCCAAACAGCTGTTTGTGCTTCGCTACGTAAACTTCATTTCCGTCATGCCGCCCCCTATTTCCTTACTGTTGATATACCGCCCCACTTGATTTGGCAATTGCAAAGTCTTTGCGACTCCTTTTCTGGCCATCTTGAATTAAGTCTTAAGACAACATCCTATGATTATGTGTTATTTTCCAGAAGCTGCCTCGTGTTACAGACTTCGATGTGTAGCACTGTGGCTCGGCATTAGCAACAGACTCAATAAGGCAGTTTGCTCATTACTCGATTCACAACATTGTCCATCATTAGGCAAAGATTCAAACAGGTGCCATCTCGAGAATCATTACCCAAGTCCCAACAACATTCTCCTCGGGTGAGGTCTCATGAGTTCCCTCGGGTACCAATACCAGCTGGCTTTTGTGCGAGTAACCCCTAGAGCAAGCTGAGTGCGCACTATTGCATCAAAGCTGCAAGACAAACGTATAATTTTCGATTGACTTATCAACTTCAAATCCATTGACATCCCTCATTGCTAAGGAACATCAGGAAGCATTTCCAGGGGGCTTCTACTGGGTCATTAATCAATAGCTAGAGCCTCGTCGCCTATTGTTATTCTTAATTACTTACGACAGCAAGCCCGCACTTCAAACTGACTCGAAACAAATGGACATCGCCAGGCAGTTCGATCTGTTGCTGTCGTCGCTGTTGTGAGTTTACTCGCGCATCGAACGACTTCATTTTGTTTGCAGTCTGTTTATGGACTATCACATGACTATGGCATGACAAACCACAGAACTTTACATCGGCAGTCTCACTGACAGAACTTGGCTAAGCATCAAAGGGACTTTGGAATGGGACTTTGGATTTTCTGGCATTCTGTTTCCCTTCCCGGCCGTCGACAGGAGCGGATGAAACTATAAGTGGATCCGACACGCCCCGACACCAAATCGGGTGCCGCGGCACGCGCTGTGCCTCTCCTGTGCATTGTTAGTGCTCACCAAAGACCAACCTTCATACGAATACGTAGGCGAGTCTTACCGGCACGAAAGTTCATCCGAACGCTGTCAGATATCCTCCTGGCGTCCATATATCCGTCATTCGTGCAATCCAACATGTTCAAATTGCCCTTCTCTAGTGATCTGTAGATCATCAAACCCAGTCCAGCAAGACCTTGCCCACGACTACACATCGACAAAAGCGAATCATCGAGGACATGGCAGGATTCGCCACAGTCGCAGCGGTCTTGGCAGCGTTCGCTGTGTTCATTCGCATCATCTATCTTCGACTCTTGCCCAAACCGATACCTGGGCTGCCATGCCATCAAGACTCAACGAATCGAATCCTCGGCGATGCTCCCTACTTCATTGAGATTGATAATGCGGGCGGGTTCTGGCTCAAGTTCTTCACGGATTTGCTTTCAAAAACCAAGACGCCAATCGCACAATTCTTCCCTGGTCCCTTCGACCGGACGCATGTCGTGATTGCTGATTATCGAGAAGCCCGGGACCTGCTCTCGAAGAGGAGCAAGGATCTCAGTCGGGGGTACACGAACAACATGATTTGGCAGGGTGTCATACCAGAGCACTTCATCGCGATGGAAGATGCTCACCCGTCTTTCAAAGATGCCAAGTTCCTTACCAAAGATTTGATGACGCCGAGCTTCTTACACGGGGTAGGGGATCCTGGTCTTCTGGGTCTTAATCATGTTCCATGAAGCAGTTCTAACATACGTACAGGTATCAGCGCCGGCTTCGTACAAGACGGTCCGGAAATTCATCGAACTGTGGAAAAGCAAAGCTGCTGCTACTGACGGCTTGCCTTTTGAGGCAGACGAAGATTTGGAGGCCTTTACTTACGACATCATGAACACTGCCGCCTTTGGTGTACCGGTGGAAGAAAGCTACATTGCGGAACGGCTGCGATCTATGAAACGGGGTCCATCTCTTGAGATACCCAGACAAGCTGGTTCTGATGAGAAAGATAAGAAAGAACCCCTCAAAGTCGCCACATTCCTCCCCGTTGAACGGCCAGAACTTCTTTTCGCTCTCGATACCCTGAACAAGAGAGTCACGGGTGCCTTCCGAGCAATGATCCCCAGCATCTTCTTCCTTTTCGACAACCTGCGGCCAACTATACAACGGGCCTTCCGCTCGAAGAGGTCCATTCTTCAGTCGCAAATCGACCGTTCAGTAGAGAAGCTCTCACGAAGCGATGGAGAAGAGAACTTCGCCTCGGCTGTAGACTACGTCGTTTCTCGCGAGAAGTTGGCTGCGGAGAACGCAGGGCGAAAGCCTGCTTTCGACTCGCTCCGGATGAGCGACATGCTTTGGGGATACATAGTCGGCGGGCAAGACTCGACTCATAGCACGCTATGTTTCACGGCCAAGTACCTCGGATCAAACCAGGACGTCCAGTCCAAGCTGCGCGAGAATCTACGGGCTGCCTACCCCGAAGCGGTAGCCGAGAAACGTGAGCCGACCATTGACGAAATCGTTAAAACCCACGTCCCGTACCTGGACGCATTCATCGAAGAGACGCTCCGCCTGAGCAGTCCCGCTGGAGCTATCATGAAAGATACACTTCGAGATATGGATATTGTCGGTTACCACGTTCCCAAGGGAACCCCGATAATGTTCCTGTTGACTGGACCTACAATCGCAGAAGCAGGGGCAGTCGTCGAGGAAAAGAAACGAAGTGAGACTTCACAGAAGCTCAACAACGAAGGCGTGGAAGACTGGGGAAGGAGCCGCTTTCCTGCGGAGTTATTTCTCCCGGAAAGATGGCTACAACCTGGCGAGAATGGTGAAGTCAAATTCAATGGTCAAGCTGGTCCATTCATGAGTTTCAGCCTTGGTCCCAGGGGTTGCTGGGGGAAGAGATTGGCCTATCTTGAGTTGAAGTTGATCATAACTTTATTGGTTTGGAACTTGGACTTTGGCAGGTTGCCCACCGAGATGGAAGATGATGGTCTGGTGGAGGGATTATTCACGAAACCCAAATCATGTCTGGTTAACTTGAAGGCTGTAAAGATTACGCAGTGAATTTGCTCCCAGAGAAGGAACATCTCCCAGTCTATGTACCTATTAGTGTTTTTAGTGGTCCTGAAACATACCTCCGCCTTTCCGCCCGGCGGGATACCGATGATATCCCACAATGGTCGGAGAGAAAGAGCGCATGGTAGTACTTATTCTAGTTATCAGATCTTTACATGTCTGCGACGTATGTTCTGGTACGGTCTTAAAAATAGTCCGTCCGGAGCCGAGCGACGAGCGGATAAGAGTTTTGCAGACCTGGGGTTCAATCCCTGACGCAGAACCCGGATACGACAGACAGGGAAAGTTCGTCCAATACTTGACGTTCGACTCACACCAGTTCCGGGGAGATTCGGGCGACATCCATGACGGCCGCCGATCTAGCTCCGTGGCCGCACCGGTTTGCCGGTGGGATCGTGCATCTCAGTGATGTTCGCGCCAAGGTTTCGCACAACGCGACCCAAAAGAACTTGGTGAGGTGACCAAAAGAATCGATTTCTGAAATGTTCGTCCATCAGAACCTTCGCCAATCGGTGCTTGATCATTTCCCGTTCCCCGAAGCTCACCCCTCAGATCTCTGGGGTTGGTGAGGACGTGGCTTTGCTTCTCGTGCGCCGGCCCTTGCAACGACTTCACGGACACCATTTTCCGATTTACCAGCCCATTTGTCAGCTATGGTGACTGAAGTATCCTGCCAAGTGGGAAATGGTCCGCTGAATCAGCGGCATCGATCAGATAGCTCGCAGTACATATGTCGTTCCCTTCGAAGCTCAAAGCCACATACATGTTCCAAGCATCAGACGCTGCCCACAATCTTTGCACTTGTTGCATCCAATCTTCACTTCAAAGGTTTTAGAGGGTAGATCCTCCGATAATCAACCATGAGTTCGTCCGACGCCGGGTTGCCCGTGAACGCTGTCGTCGGAACTCTGCTCGCGACTTTTCTCCTTACCATCACCTTAGCGTTTCTGTCTTCAAGTAGCAATCTGTCGAGTTTTCCGCTAGTCGGAAAGGAAGCTGGCAGTTATGAGAAGCGACGTAAGATGTACTTTGCAATGGCCACTAAACTTTATGAAGAAGGCTATCAGAAGGTTTCTATCCACGCAAGAGTCTTTAGAAATCATTGGACTAACCTCAATCTCTGAAGTTCAAGTCGTCAATCTGGCGTATTACAGGTGCTGATGGTAAGAAGCAAACAACTTCTCCACGGCCAACACTAGCTGATACCATTACAGGCGACATCGTTATGATCCCGCTTCACCATTGCGACGATCTCCGAAAAATGCCCGACGACACCGTCAACAACGTTCCTCTTTTGGAATCCGTTAGTAGAGCCGCCCGGATACTCTGTTGCACAACTGGTGCTGATTCTTCTCCAGCTTTGCGAGACGAGATGGACAGACTACCACCCAATAAACCCCCTGTTACTCAACGTCATCAAGTCGAACCTCACTCCAAGCCTGGCCAAAGTTGCCGTCACACTATCAGGTCACATCCAACGTACGGTCTTGGACTCGCTCGGTTCTTGCACCGAATGGACGGAAGTGGTGCTGTACGACAAACTGCTGAATATGGTAGCCATCATCTCCGGCCGCATCTTCATCGGCCCCGAGCTTTGCCACAAGGAAGAGTACCTAGATGCCAGTACCATGTTCGTCATCGACCTCTTCACAGCAGCAGCCAAAATCAAGAGATGGCCAAAGTTCTTGCGCTTTATCGGCAAGCATTATGTCCCCGAGATCAAGGAGCTGGCCGAACACAGACGTCGTGCAGCTCAAGTCCTGGTTCCGGTCATTGAAGAACGCAAGAGGTTAAACACCGAAGGTACCGAGGCACCAGAGGACATGCTGCAATGGTTCATCGCCAAGTCTAGCAAGTTTGACATGGACAGCAATGAGCAACTCGCCGAGACACAGCTTAGCTTGAGCGTTGTCGCCATCCATACTACGACAATGGCAGCCACTCATACGTAAGGCGTTCTTGTTCATGATATAGCCAATGCATCGTGAGACTGACTGGATCAAAGTTTGTATGATATCGCAGCACGCTGTCCCGATGTCATTCCCGCCCTTCGGGACGAGATCAAGTCCGTACTCGCCGCGAATGGAAACGAATGGACAACCAGCGCCCTCTTCCAGATGAAGCTCCTTGACTCCGTCATGCGAGAGTCCCAAAGATTCAATCCCGCCAGCTTAATCAGCTTCCTACGAACCATCACGAAACCAGTGACCCTCAAAGACGGGACTACCCTCCCCACCGGCACCAACATCGCGGTGCCCATGGTCGGTCCTCTACGGGATGATTCTCACTACACCGATCCAAACCTATTCGACCCCTACCGCTTCGTATCGATCCGCGACGAGATGCGCAGCGATCCGTTGCAGTACGCCAATAAGGAACAATATCAATTCGTGTCTTCGACCAAGGAAAATATGGCCTTTGGCTTCGGTCGCCACGCGTGTCCGGGACGATTCTTTGCTGCCACCGAGATCAAGATGCTCCTCGCGAGACTTCTACTCGAGTACGATATCCGAATGCCAGACGGGGTACAACACCGCTACGAGAATATTGTAAGAGGCGATATGATTGAACCGGATCATACTAAGACGATGATGGTGAGGAAAGCCATTGCACCGAAAGAGTGAGGTAAGCAAACTGCTCAAGGACGGGTCTGCGTGGTGATACCGTGATAGGGCTTTTTTGGGGTGAGCATCAGTTCGTGCGGTCATGACGACAAGGTCACATCGCGCGGGCGTCTAGGACATGTCACACATTATTGTAACTTCTTGCCGGTGATTTTGTGGTTGTATTAAGCGACGATGGGTAGTTGGCTATCTTTGAATAACGGACCAGTGTCTACGCCGACCAGGTACTATTGAAGGCCACCATGCCTCACACGATTCCTCGCAACAAAATGGGATGTACCGTCATGACAGCGACGGATTCAAAGCTGTGATCGCATGAACTGCCACAGAGCAGGGTTCTGACTTGGCGGAATACCCATCTGTCTCAAGTCGACAAGAACCGGATCATCCTTCCGAGTGTCTGGATGCAGCTGACTTCCGGCATTGACCTCAGCTGTACCGTACCTCAGAGCTTCAACAATCGCTTCAAGATCCAATTGCTGGTCGGCTGGGTCGCCAGACTTGCCAAGGCCCTCATCGGTTGCACCAGCACTCTGTTGGGTGGTTTGAATAGCTTCTTCTCCTTCCGTTTGCTTTCGAGGGCCCAAGCATCTGTTGAAGAGTCCCATAACTGGACCGAGACTGCGTGTAGCTGTCCCTGGCTCCGTACGACGCGTCGTAAATGAATTCCATGGGAGAGCGAACATCTCCGAAGCTGCGGTCAGGAGCCAATCAGGTATGAGACGGACCAGCATGCCGACAGGAATAGTGAGAACTCCAAACATAAGAGACCAGCCCCACTGAGCTCCCGTGAGAGGAGCAACTTGGAATGCTTCTCCACCCAGAAAGATGATTATGACTTGTCCAGCAAGTGTCACAGCCTGCACAAACAAAAACCAAGGATTCTGGAGAATACCCTCCAAGATGTTGAATCGGTTGTCGATCCGCCGGGAGCTGCAGAACCATTAGTCCAAGCCGTGCCAGGTTTCTCCGTTAAGCTCGACTCACTTGATTTGATTGAAGAACTGCATCCACACATAGACGTTGAAGGTCATGGTTTGTAGTTGTCGCTGCTGTTGCTCGGTGTGGTATTGGAAGATGCTTTCCCCTGCGTAGTGGGACGTGAAGATGACCGCAAGCTGGTAGATGGACTGCCCTAGAATCATCTTCCACATTGTAACGTTGAGGACTGCAACTCCTCTCGGCTGGGGCTTCCGCTTCAGCAGATTGGGAGTTGGAAAGTCGGTACCGAGGGCCAGCGCAGCGAACGTATCCATGATCAGGTTGATCCACGACAATTGGACAATACTGAAGACAGATGCGTCCGTGCCACCAATGAGTGCAGTTATGACAGTAAGAAGGCCGGCCGTAACGTTGATGGTAAACTGAAACTGTTTCGATTTGTTAATGTCAGAAACGCCAGGAAGACTATGTCACCAACCTGCATAAACTTTTTGGCGGCATCGTTGACGGCTCTGCCCCAGGAGATTGCCTTGGCAATCGATACAAAGTTGTCGTCCATTAAAACAATTGCGGATGCTTCCTTGGCGACTTCGGTTCCAGATATGCCCATGGAGAAACCCACATCTGCAGCCTTCAATGCGAGGGCATCGTTCGTGTCGTCTCCGGTCACAGCCACGACCTCGTCAAGACTCTTTAAATGAGTTACTAGGCGTACTTTATCGTCGGGGCTGGATCGAGTAAGGACTTGGAGACGTGGAGCTACGAGATCGATCTGTCTCGACGTCAACTTCCGGAAGGTCGGTCCATCCATGGCTATTCCGCCAGCCGTGTAAATTCCGCATTTGTCGGACAGCCTCAATAACCTCAGGCCGTAGGGGGTCGCGGATGCCAAAAGCATCGATGAACACCAAGTCGGTGAGACTGATCGTTGTATTTGAAGCGGCCGGTGGCCACTAATCAAAGTCCCTGTATGCCGCGGAAATAACTCGCAGAGACCGCTGAGCGAAGCCAAGAATGATGGCCTTCAGTCTTTGTATGCTTTCAGGAGTCATCTTCATAACGTCGGAGCCAGAGGCGGGATCGCTCAAAATATTGACGCATCTGTCCAGAATGACTTCTGCAGCACCCTTGACCAACATTCGGTAGCGACCATCGCTCAGCCTTATAACAACAGCCATCCACTTCTTTGAGGCATCGAAGGGAATAACCTGCACAATGTTCCCGTTGGTCCTCTCTTCACTGACACTTCCCATGCCAAGATGCTCAACAGAAAACTTGAGAAGTGCAGTTTCGGTGCTCGAACCAACAAAACCGCTGCAGTCAGTCGTTTCGATTGCGTTCGAGTTGAGGGAAAAGCTCGTCTTAAGTAGTTCTCGGATAGTGCTCGGCAGGGATGCAATGAATTCATTGGTTGAAGGGATGTCGTGGTCGTGCCCGTATGGAAAGCCAACATCTCGAAACAATGCTGCCGTTCCGAGGATACCTGCAACGACGCTCATATTGTTCTGGGTTAGGGTACCCGTCTTGTCGGAACAGACCGTTGTAGCGTTGCCCATGATTTCGCAAGATCGAAGGAGTCGTACGAGGTTGTTGTCCTTGAGCATTCTTGTTGTAGCAAAAGCCAAAGCCAGGGTGACAGTGGGAGACCCTCGGGTACTGCAATAACGATAATCGTGATGGACAAGATCAGAACGTCCAAAAAGGCATGCCCCTTCTGTTTGGGCCCACCTTGTTTGTGTTTCAGATCGACGATGAACCGGATGAACATGATTGCGAAGAAAATACCACCCGCTATCAAGCCGAATCTGATGATGTACTTAGCTAATATTCCAAGCTTCTGTTGTAGAGGAGTCTCTTCAACGTCGTCGTGGAGCGACATCATGATTCTGCCGTACGACGAGTCGGCACCAACAGCCAATACGAGATATGTTCCGACTCCAGTGGTTGCTTTTGTCCCGCTGAGGATGAAAGGATCGTTCTCGTTCTCGATGGATGCGGAGGCTGAAGTCTTGGCCAACAAATCTGACTCCCCAGTCAAAGCGGACTCGTCGCATTGGATGTCAAATCCTTGAATCAAAATGCCGTCAGCGGGAACAACGTCGCCGGCCTCGATGTGCAATACATCGCCCACGAGAACGTCAAAGATGGAAATGGACTGGTGTTTGCCAGATCGAACAACGGTAACCATGCGTTCTTCCTTCTTCTGGTTCAACTTCTGAAACTTGTAGTTCTTCTGATAGTCGTTGACGGCGGTCGCAACCACAATGACCACAGCAGCAACCAAGATACTCACCCCCTCAACCCATTCAATCCTTGCTCCTTGTTCGTCGCTGCCGACGGATTGGTAAATGCCTAGGGCAAGAGAGACGACGGCAGAGGCGGTAAGAAGGAACATAAGTTTGTCGTTGAAGGCCATCCGAAGAAGTTGCAGAAAGGTCTTGGGCTTTCTCCTGGGTACACGATTCTCGCCGTATGTTGCCCGGCGACCGGTGAAGTTGCCATGAGTTTGCCCTGGGGCTTCTGTTGCCTTTTGGTCTGCCTTTGTTTGGGCACCGGCGCTCTTGGAATTTGCAGCCGTTTCTGCACTGATGGAGTGTTCATCGAGGATATCTTCGTCGACTCCAAGGCCTGCGTTGACATCGGTTCGCAAGCCCACCGCAAGGCCCTGCAAGCCCCCAAAGGCGAGTAGAGATCTCGGGTTGCGGTTCTCGATCAACCGGTGGAGTTGCGGTGGGGAGAAGGCGAACTTGCTTCCAGGAGCATTGTCCTCGTCGTCGAGCTTCTCGGTGGCCGCCGATGCCGCGATGATGCTCTTTCGATCGTCAGGCGTCGAGCCGATAGGGGGCAATGAGGTGATTTCGTCCTCCATCGCCGTTATTGCACCGAGATGGGATGGAGACAAAAGTTTGCAGACGGTCGAATTCTGGAAAATTGGCAACAAAAGAGCGTTAGAGGCCGTAAAAGATGGACTGATGGCTCTTGGAGATATTTCCCCGGTTGAACAACGGAGGTGTGTTACATATCAACAAATGTTTCTTGGCAATAATATGAGGCAGTAGATACCCTAGGAAAGAGGCTCTCTGGCCGGACTTGCCAAGCAGTCGTGCGTGGAATGGCTTGCCAAGACCACACGGCGGAGTGTGCCGTGATGTACATAGAGATTGTAAAAAGCCAAGATAATCAGCAAGTGGGTAGCCGCCGAATAGAGAAAAGGGTACGTGTGCACCGCAACAAGACTTTGTTTCCGTTTACCCCCTGCTACTACTGGGATGGACACCTTAATCAATGTATCGCATTTGCTACATTCACCGCACACCTCTCCACACCCAATCGCTACGTTGTGTACAGACATTGGCCATCGTCTCCCGACCCCAATAGTGCGCCGTACTGCCACTCGCTTGCTTCGAAGCGGACCCTTGCTGCAAACGCGACATGCACGTACAGTCCTTAAAGCCAGCACGTTGCACTGCCCTGGTGGATCGCAAAGCTTTGGGAACCAACCACCACCACCACCTCACCACTTACACCGACGAAAACAACGCAAACCGCGAGACGCCCGCAGCAAGACTAGAAGAGCCATCGCACGCCCATGGCTAGACGCTACCCTCTCCCGAGGCATTGGAGAGTAAGATCCGGGATCGATCCCCTTACCAAGCTGGCTTCAACTTATTGCGAGATTGCAGGCTCGCTTGCCCAACGGCCAGCCCCCTCCTCGTGTCATTGTCGTGAAACAGGAACACCCAGGCGCGGATTCATCTTCATCCCAGCACAATTCCCGAAAGCAGGGTGACCGTGATGAATCTGCCAATTCAGGCTGGAAAGAAACTTTCTTCAAGGTTGTCGAGGGAAGTGCGACTGCGTTTGGCTCAATCGCTGTGCTTGGTTTGGCAGGATATTCCTACCATACCTACTACAAGTATCTCGTGCTTCAAAAGATGGAAAACGCATTCAGTGCAGGATTTTCCACTCCTGAGCTCATAGCGCTCGCGCGACATGCCGTACCGTCTAAGCTGCAGTTGGAAGCAGCTTTACACGAAAATGAACTGGGTCACCACGAATGGATTCCAAGAACCGAACAGCCTCTCGTTGATGCAATCTTAGATGGCAGTCTCCAGGGGAGGTACCACCTCATCACCGGGGAAAGGGGCTCTGGAAAAACATCCATGATACTCAAAGCAATGAGACGAGTTCACGGCGACGGGATCGCCATGCTCGAAGCCCACGGTGATCCAGAAATCTTCCGTCTCCGCCTGGGCAAAGCCCTCGACTATGAGTTCCACGAGGACTACGTCGGAAGCTTGTTCAACTTCAAGGGCCCCCGTGACTCAACAGCCACTCTTGATATTGAAAGAGCGTTCAACAAAATGGAAAAAGTCGCTTTGAACCGGCGGGCGCGTACCGGCAAGCCTCTCATCCTCGTCATCAACCGCGTTCATTTGTTGCGAGAAGACGACCACGGCCGCAATTTACTCGAGCTTATCCAACAGCGAGCCGAACTCTGGGCCGCCAGCCGCCTCGTGACAGTGGTACTTACGAGCGACGATCACAGCATCACAGAGCGCCTCAGGTGGCAAGCAACGCGCTTGAGCGTAGCAGACATACACGACATCCCCCGTGGACCCGCCCTGGCCTCCCTCAAAGACTTCCGAGCAAAGGTCTTCAAGGAGGTTGTGCCGCAGAACATCCTAGACCATGTCTACAACAAAATCGGCGGGCGTGTCGGTTTCCTCGACCACGTGGCCCGGTCCGAGGACATGCTCCACGCCTGCGACCTAATCTGCGAGCGGGAGAAGCGCTGGCTCCTCGGGCAGTGCTGGATCCTGGGCGGTGACATTGATGACAACGCCGAGGACCAGCAGGACTTTTCAGCTGCTGCGATGGTGCTGGCTAAAGCTCTTGTCGAGAAGGAAAAGAACATGGTCCGGGGGGGCATCACCGACGGCCGGCTGCCAGAGATACCCCTCCACGAGGTGAGACAGATCATGACCCGGCCGGACCTGATTCAGCGGCACGATCACGTCAACATCTTCTCCATTGATTCCAACTCAATCGTTCGGGCTGACTCGGTGCCAATGCAAAATGCATTCCGTGAGATCTGCGCGCAAGAGGGCTTTGAGGATCACCTTCAGGCAACGTTGGACCGGTTGGACGAATTGGAGAGTCTAGGAAGGACGAGGGAGATTAAGATGAAAGACCTTGTCAATGACGGAGAGTTCCAAGCACTAGTTCGCTCGGCTAGGGGCAACGGGGAGCCTCTGATGGTCACTGTAAAGGCGGCGTCTGCAGAAAAGGGCGGCGAGTGATTACTATCGAGGATCGTTTCTAACTACAATAAGCCGAGGCACGACATTAGAACCCATACATGCATGTTTCAACGATCAGAGTGGCGGAGCAAGCTTGGCTCAACGGGTGTGGATGTCTGCTCGATGATAATTTGACGATCCTCTCTCAACATTACGACTTTTTCTTTCCAGCACCCCTTTCAGCCCCCACCCTAGCAGCACTAATAAAGTTGATAGGCCATTTCGAGAGAATTCGGTTTCGCTTTCCATCCCTTATTCTTTATTGCTCAGCCCTACGCCCTGTACTCCCTTTCCCACTATTGTCGTCTCCGCGGGCATCGGACGAGCCGTGTAATTCCGCCGTGTAAAGCCTGGTGATGGTGCCTACCTTCGGACAGCGTCGGAGAGCGAGACGCTCAACCAATGGAAACTAAGTCCCAAAGCCTCTTTTCGTTGTAACACATAGCGAACGAGACACGGACAGTTTAGCAACTCCCTCGAACGTCCTGGCCTAAAGCGTAGTTCTGGAGTGTGATATGGCGATGTTCCCTCAAGCACGGACGTAAAACCAACATGAGGGTAACAGCGTCAAAGTGTGTTTATCTACGTATGCTCTAAAACAGAACTTTACCAAAACCATTGCCACCTTCTACCGCTAAAAATCGAGTTCTCGGCGTCAAGTGGGTGAACGAGCGAGCATCTAACTTCTAAATCCCCATGGCAACAAACCTTAAGTCCCTTGAGGCTTTACTTTGGGCACCAAAGTCATGTGTCATACGCGGAAACCACAAAGAATCACCAACTGAACCTTCATGCGCAAGAAGAGATCTAATGACTAATGTGACTTCACAGAAGCTAGGACATGACGTTGCACAAACAATATCAATTGCGACCATTCTATCTTGTAAACACCTCTAAACCCGCGATAAAAGCGACCGCAAACAGGGGGAATCAATCTGAGCTTTGGGGTATCAGTGTGACAAACGGACGACGCAACCCATCCTGTGCCCCCGATTCAACCTTTAGCCGCATTCCGGTGATACGCCAATAATGATGCAGTGGTAGTAGCTTGATAATGTCCCCCGACAGTCTAGACGATTAAACAAGTAAAAGACGGCGCTGCGCGCTCTAGAGTTTTTACAAAAGGAAATACGGCCCTGTCTCAGGCGGGGCCAGACCATGTCCATACTCGACGTTCTGCTGAAGCTTACTAAGCTTCAACCATCAACTGCTCACCCTCCTCTAACAACTCCGTCACCTTCCTCAAGTTGCCAATGAGACTCTTTCCGAGACCGACCAGGAGCAGCTTCTCGGCGTTGGCCGGCAGGCCGAGGTACGTAGGCGGCTCGCGTTCAGGCAACTTGTGGATCCATGCCATAAAGTCCGGCAGAGACGTGCCTGATGGAACCTCAAGACTGGTTTCCTGGCCCTCTGCACTTTCGACAAGCTTATGTCCGACATCGTAGGCGGACGGCGTCAGGAACGAGTGGACAAGCTGGTTCAATTGCTTGAAGTCGCCCTCATTGTCAATCTTGCCACCGTAGGTTTCGGTGACGAGGTACCGGATCATCTCCCAGGGAATGCTCTGAGGGGCAATGTTTGTGCGGTTGCCAGCAGCGTTCTCGATCCAGGTGTCAATGATGAATGCGGAGCATTCGTACTGAGGCATGTTAGCATTATCTTGGATGATTCAGTGCTCAATAAAACTTACGTCACTGTCATTGAACTCCCAGAAACCCTTCCAACCCAAATTGGGTGCGTAACGAAGACGCTCTTGAACAACTGCGTGCAAGAAGGCGAGCAGCAAGTAGAGCCTGGTGCGTTCGACGGGAGCCTTGGCAGACCTGGTTGATAGAGAGGACATGGAGTCCTTCATGTTGGCACGGACACCAGCAGGTTGCTCGTACATGAGAACTCTCGAAGCGCGAAGCAGATTGACGGGAATCTTGGGACTCGACTCCATGGAAAGGAAAAGACGGAAGTCGGAGTGAGGGTTGAGCGATTCCATGCGCTTCTCAAGACTCTGCAGCCAAGTAGGTGCAAGATGGACGTTCTTGACCAAGACCCAGTTGCCGAGCTGTGCGGCGTTGTTGACGGCCTTATCGGCGGTTGCCAGACCTTCGTTGGAACCCATGGCAATGTTGGTGCACTTGACTCGCATCCTCTCAACGAGGTTGTCGACCTTGTAACTGGCATCGAAACCAGGGCTGGAGACCAAAGAGATGGGTCGGGTTGCAGGCACCTGGGTGACAGTTTCCTTGAGATCTTCGACGATGTCGAAGATGTCGGCACCAAAGACAAGGGCGGCGAAGCGCTCTGCAGCAGGCACGAACCTGTCAAGGCGGAAGAGCTTGACAAGAAGCAGAGATTGCAAGGCCTGATCGAAAGGCTCGACATTGTCGTCCCAGATCTTGGGCACGAAGTTCTCGGCCAGTTCCTCAGAGAAGAACTTCTCCCACTGCTCGTTTGTGATGTGCTCTAACTTGTCCTTGAGTACGCTCATGCGGCCAGCTCGGGCACAAGCTTCCTCTCTTGCCTCCTTGTCGGTCGAGAGATCCTTGCCCTCCACGCGATCGTCAAGGATGACGTCAATCAAAGTCTTGTCCATCTTGTAAGGTGACGCCTGGGCAAGCAGCATGGCCAGCGTGATTCGGTCCTTCTGAAGCAGGCCGAGCGCAGTCCGCTTGAACGTGGTGACGAAAAGATCCTTGACGATGATGTCTCGCCGAATGTTATGGTTGGTCTCGTTGGCAAGGTTCTTGTTTCCATGAAGAACGGAGTGGAAAATGTCGAGGAAGTACTGGAGCGAGAACTGGTAAAAGTGGTTGAGATAGTGCAGCTGCTCCAGCACGGCGAACACAGTACTACAGGACCTGGCAATGATGCCGTACTGCTGAGTGATTTCCTCAACCTCGGCCATGACACCCTCGGTATTGCTCATCTTGTCAGAAATCTCTGCTGCTTCTGTCTTCAGAGTCTCCAAGGTCTCAATGACGTTGTCATCGTCGAGAATGTTGCCGCGAGACTCGTTGAGGGCTTGCAGAAGACGCTTCTCCAACTGCCTAAGATGAATCTTGAACTCACCCTGAAGCTTGATGAGGTTGGACCGGCGCTCATCGACATCAGGTCTCTCCGACTTGAGCACATCGTTAAGTGATTGGGTCTGGAGACTGCTCTGCGTGACGGTAAAGTTGACGAAGGTGGTACGAGAGCAAATGTCGGGAGGGAAGGTGGCGGAGGGGTCGCGAGTCGACAGGTAGATCTTGAATGAAGGCGAGAAATCAATCTGCTGCTTGCCAAGCTGGATAAGAACACGTCCACCAGTCTTTTGGTACTCCTTGTTCAAGACCTGGTTGAGGATGGGGTCCAGGTATTCAGCATCTTGAATGAGAATTGGGTTGCCAAAACGCAGCGAACTCTCCAGTTGCTTGGTGAAGGAATCATCCAGGAAACTGGTGACAGTGAGGCGGCGGTCCTTGCTCTCCTTCTGCAGGAACTCGGTGACTCGGCCAGAAGGATCGATGATGAGAGGGTAACGGTTGAACCGTTTGAGTATGATGGCGTTCTCCGTGCACAGGTCGTCCACAGGCAAGCTGTTCTCCTGCCAAGTCAAGCGCTCATCAGCGGTCGATAGGTACTCAGTGACCGGGTTGTGCGGCTTGAACTGGACGCCTGAGAGTTGAAGCTGGTGAAGCCAGTCATCCATCATCGACTTGCGGAAAGTCTGGTCGTAGAGACCGCTGTAAGCCAAGAAGGCGGCGGCAACAAGGACATCGCCAACGAGGGTGCTGATTTGAGTCTCGAAAGACTTGCTTCCCTCCTCCCAACGAACTCTCTCCGAAGACAGACTGTCGAGCAACTTGACACTTCTGTCGACCTTGAACTGAACCTTGGACATCTCCGACTTGATGGCCTGCGTCTCGCTAATGAGTGCGGCGTACTCCGTCTTATACTGGGCGATACTGGACTCGAGGGTGTTGATGGTGTTCTCAACAGCCTTGGCCTCGGCCTTGGTTTGCAGAGCTTGCTCCTCAAGCTGATCGACCTCTTCTCTGAGAGGGCCGACGCGGTCCAGAATGTCGGAGTACGAAACTTGTGCTTCAACCCACTGCACGAGGGGACCGCAGGCCTTGGAGGCACGGTTGACTTTGTCGAAAGTGAACTCGGGGTTGGACAAGAAATCCTTGCGCATCTTGAGACGAAGAGGCTTCGTCATGTTTTTCTCGTTGTCAAAGTTGACGATGCTGGCGATGAAATCGTCGCGACGGATAACGCCCTGGATCATCTTCCAGTCGTTGACCTTGTGACCAAGCAGGGCACAGACAGACTCCAGTGCGAGTCTGACACCCTGAGGAGGGTTACCCATGGATCGAACTTCGGTAAGGTGCTGACGCTTGATGTTGCTAACACTAGCTCTTGCCTCCTCGACAGCGGGTTCGGCTCTTGCGAGATCGTCCAAGACGACCTTCTTGCGCGTTGCAACTTCGGCCTCTTGCTTCTCCAAAGCGACCTGAATCTCCAAGGAAGTGTTCTTCCTCTGCTCGGCCTCTCTCTGATCGGCAACCATGCGCTGCAGCTTCTCGTTCGCCTCGGCATCCTTCTTCTCGAGTTGAGTCTTCTTCTCGGCTAGGCTGACCCTGAGGTCGCGAACCTTGTCGACAGTGTCTCTGAGCTTCTCGAGACCGACGTTGAGATGGCGCTGCTGCTCTTCCAAGTCCTCACGCTTCTCATTGTACAGCTTGACGTACTGGGCGACGAAGTCCAGGAAGTGTCTGGGCGTGAGGAAAGTAACCTTGCCTTGCTGCTTGAGTAGCTTGGCGTTGAAGCGTTGGAGGGAGTAATGGATGTAGACCATGGAGTTGACAATGGTCTCGCGGTGCGTAGGAGGCAACTGAAGGGCGCGGTAGGCCACCGGAATGGTGTCCGGCGCCTGGAAGTTGGGACGGTCCAGATCCATGGAGGTGGTGAGCTCGTGGCCGACCTGGAAGAGGGCCTGGTCTGACCAGTCACCGAACCAGTTGAGCACACAACGGTTGAACAAGGCAGGACTGGTTGCGGCCTTGGAGCCGAGGCCACCCTCTGGCGGGTTCATGGTGAACACAACGTGCAAGTTCTTGACAATCTGTTGAGTGAACCACTTGTAGAGTTCTTCGGGCGAGTCAAGGTGCAGGTTCTGTCGCTGAGCGCCCTCCTTGCAAGCTGTCATGAGGGCAGCGAACTCGTCGCCCTCAAAGAGACCAGGAACCTCGGCGTTGGCAAGCAAGGTGTTCATTCTCTCAAGGAAACCGGAGTCAAGAACGTTGGCTTCGTCCATGATGAAGCAAATCTTTTCGCCCTTGCAACCGCAACGTCGGAGAACATCACGGAGATCGTCGTCGAAGTCCTCACCAGAGTACTTGCCATGCACCTTGATCTGGAAGACCTTCAGACCATTCATCCAAGCCACGAAACGAGAAAGAGTAGTCTTTCCACTTCCACTGACACCGATGAGGATAAGATGACCCTGGGGCTGTCTGAAGACACGATCGATGCGGAGGACGTGCTCCAAGACGTCGTTGAACAGGATAAGCGGCACGTCGACCTCTTCTTCGCAGAAAGTCTTGAGTCTGGCCTTGACAAAGTCACGAAGTTGCTCTCGGTCAACAGGGACGTAGTTCTTCGAGAGCCAGTTGGAGAAGAGGATGGGCCCACCAAGAGCCTTCTGGTCGTCAACGGTAGGGAACAGATCAAGAGCGATACGTCGCACAGCGTCGTCGGTCCACTGGCGCTCGTCCTCGGCAACGAGACGATCCTGGAACAGGCGAAGAGCCTCGTGTGCCCAGATGCGGACGAGACCTTCGATGGACAGTGTCTCCAAAGGCCGAATTGCCTCGTAAATACCTCTGACCCATCTTGTCAACTCACGAGGACTGTACACGTAGTGGGGCTGGATCTTTGGTGTAAAGCGTTTCTGGGATTCCAGGTAGAATTTGACCATGGCTTGCGTGAGTGGCTCAGAGTAGCCGCGAAGCGCCGGGATGATCTTGAGGACGGCAGAATTGAAAGTGCCGTAGATTTGAAGCAGTGAAAGCTCTCCGGGATAGTCAACCATGATAAGAGGGGCGTGGCGGAGGAATCTGGCGCCAAGGGGAGTACGACCGGCGTCGGTGGGAGGGTTACAGGCACCGACGAACTGGATGCGGTCAAGCGTGACCCAGGACTTGTCCGATGTCCTCCAAAAGCCGTTGTGCTCAACGAGCTGGCGGAGGAAGGAGATGGCCCTCTGAGTTCCGTACTTGTCGGGAGCGGGCAAATTGATTTCATCGCAGAAGATGACGAGCCATCTGCCAATTTGAGTGGGCGAGAGCATGACTCCGTTCAATGTCTTCTTATACTCGCAGTATTGCTCAAAGGTCTTGATCAAGAGATCGGGGGTGGTGGCGCTGGAGAAGTTGAGGCCGACAACCTCCATGTTGGGAAGCTTGCGAAGAGCGCTGAACAGCGTCATAGTCTTACCCGAACCGGGAGGACCACAAAGTAGCAACGGCTTGTGCTCAGCCAGCCACGAGTAGAGGACATCCTCGTGACGAACTGTGTCGAGCGTGGGAATAACGACGTCGGTCTGGGTGATGGAGTGGGTGTTGACCTCAATAGTCGGCACTTGGTTCTGCCAAGGGGACCATTCCGCTTGAGGCAGGGTGACGTCGAAGTCAATAAGCGAGCTGGAGCCATCCAAAGGAGGGTTGCCGAAGTTGGCGAGGCCACCGACAACATCTCCAAATGACTTCCTGTCGTTAAGAGGGCAGTCACCAGTCAGAGCCCAGACGAGGGCAAGAAGAAGCTTCTTGGCGATGAAGGCCTCGACCTGCTCGGGGTCCAAGGGGAAGTCAGAGTGTTGCGCATTGTACTCAATCATGTCACGAACAGCCTTGTTCAACAGAGAGAACAGTGTGTTTAGAACACGAGCAACAGTGAAGTCCATAATGTGGTTGAAACTCTCGGCTTCCTTAAGCGCCTGGACGAGGAAGTCCTCCCCGCCGAGGTAAGCCTTGAGTAGATCGGCAACCTGTTCCTGGACAGCCAGAGCCTTTGCGGGGCTTTGCCCGGCGCCGACACTGTCTTCGTCGAGGTCCTCGAACGGCTTGGAGCGCAATGTCTCGAGGTAATGGTCGAGCATCATGACGGGCGACACAGTATCCTCGCTGAACCAGACCATACCGCAACGAGAGACCGTGGCAAGAGTGGCGTACTTGAGAGTCTCGACCTCGAACATGATGCGGACGTTGGCAGGCAGGTTGAGACGTTCACCGTTGGGAAGCGTAAGAAGCTTGTTGTCGTCCAGAACACTGTTCAAGTTCTCAACCCACTCGGGGTCGACGTCACCGTCAAAGACAATCCAGTGACGCTTGGAGTCCTCGCCTCTGAGGTTGTCGACGATCTTTCGGAGGATGCTGGTGAAGAGACCGTCTGTCCACTCGCGCGTGGTAGAGTCGAGGTTACCGTACAGAGCCTCCTTGGACATGACCTTGGAATCAATGACATGCTGCACGCCCTCAACACCCTCGACCTTCTGGAGCGCGTCGAGCAGAAGAGTCCAGGCAGCAGATTTACCTGTACCAGAGTTGCCCACCATCATTACACCGTGGTGGATCTTCTGGATCTGGTAGAGTTGAAGGACCTTGGTCATCCAGGTATCGTTGACAACCAGCTGTCTCTCGGCAGCGAGAGTTCGGATGGCCTCCTCCAGTTTCTCCAAGTTGGCGGGAACGTACTTGACGCCAGGGAAACAAGTCTCCTCAACCTCTGTGAGGATCTCGACATCACTCTTGATCAACTTTGGAGCAATGGTTTCCCGAATACTCTGTACGATGATCTCTGGTTCAACAACCTCTTCAGCGCCGATGCTGCCGTCACTAGCTGCCAGTCGCGCACGCTTCAAGCCACCAGAGCTAACGAGAACACTCTTCAAGGCACGGAGACCGAAATCGTAATGAGCCTGCTTCGACAGTCTAGCAGAGCACTGGTCGAAGAACGGCACAGTCTGCTTGGACAGCTGCTTAGCCTGGTTGAAACCCTGAGAGTACAGCATGACTTCGGAAATGAGTTCTTTGTCGGGCTTGGACATGGCGACGCTGCGGAAGAGCTTCTTCAAGTTGTCGGGGAGGTTGGAACGACCGGCGTAGCCAGGGTTCATGGTGATGAAGATACCAGTGTTGGCGTTGACGTGGAGCTGACGTCCGACCAGCTCGATCTGAGCCTTGTCGTCTTCGGCGCCCTGCTTCAGACCAAGCTGAATGTTCTGGATCTGCTGCGAAACAGCGGACAAGATTCTCTCCTCAAGACGGTTAAACTCGTCGAAACAACCCCAGGCACCGACTTGGCAAATACCGAGGAAAATACGACCCATGGCCTGGAAATCAAAGGTGTCGTCACAGCAGAAGACCAACGTGAAGCGACCCAGTTGGAGACCAAGGGCCTTGACTGATTCCGTTTTACCGGTACCGGCAGGTCCGTAGGGAGATCCACCGAGACGTTGGCAGAGAGCTTGGGTGAGGGTAAGGAAGCAGCGGTCGGTGAGGGGTGTTCTGACCAGGCGATCGGGAACTCCAAGATATTCGAAACCGTAACTGAGCTTGGCGTTGGCCATCTTGATCTGCAGACGCTGCTGGAAGTCACCATCAGGAGAGTAGTGGTAACGCATCTGGAGCAGCCAGAAGTAATGAGTCGGCGCCGTTGCATTGAGATTGATGAGCTTCTCAATGGCGTCACGCTGGTGAACGCACTCGGTGATAAGCTGCTCACACTTCTTGCGCTGGATGGCCTCAAGATCGCCGAGGACGGTGTCGGCCAGCAGACGAAGCACTTGTACTTCACGCTCATAGAGTGACTGCAGCGTCTTGCCGCCGTCTGCGAGTGATTTCTCCACAACGGTGGTCCAGACGGCTTGGGTGGCCAAAACAACGATTTGACTGGGGAAAGCCTCCATGAACTCGTTCATCGCAGACATCTCGATCTTCTCAGATTCGAAAATAGGAGTGTAGTGCTCGACAGCTTCCGCCAGGAGCTCTGCGAGAGTGTTCTTCATACCGCTTTCCAGGAGAGCCAGCCAGTCGTTGATCTTGGGCGTTTTGGCCAGAGAAATCTCCTTCTTGAGCCGCACCGCCTCGCCCTCCTTGGACGTGAAGCCAGAGATGATAGTCTCGTCGTCCATGATCAGTCCTGAGAGACCAGCGAACATCTTCTTGAAATGCTTAGCAATACGGAGAGTGTCATTGCTGTTACCAATCATTTCCAAGAGGTCCTCGTCACCAACGAAGTAGAATCTGGGGAAGGAGACACGCTCCTTCTCGAGATACTCACCAAGAGCCTTCTGGATCTTGTTGAGCAACTCTGCAAGTCTCTCAAGAGACTTCTGTACGTTGGGGATTTGAAGGACATCGAGGACGTACGGCTGCTTGTAGACCTTCTTCATAACGGCAGAGAACTCGCTGTTGATGTTCTGGAATCTGGAAGACTCCACAGGCAACAGGTGCTTGATATCGGCATTGCCAGTGAAGACTCCCTCCAGGTACACCCACTGTCTTTGAACGTCAATCCAAACGTCAAAGAGGACGTGGACTCTGTTGAGCTTGTCTTCCCAGGAGCTTGCCTCCTCCTCGAATTCCTTGTAGTAGGGAGAGTGCTTCATAGCCTGGAGCGAGTTCAAGTTCTCACTGCACTTTGCGAACAGATCATCCCAGCCACGGATGAGGCGGCACTTGTTCTGGTAGTTGACAAGCTCCAGTCCATAGTTGGACCATGTCTCACGAACTTGCTTCAGGAACTCCTCCAAGGCCATTTCACCCTGAGCCTGGGTAATGATGTCCCTGACAATAACCTCTGTGGCGACCAGGTTGAGATCCCAGACATCACCGAGGGTCATAGAAACGGGCGAGTATCGCTTGCCAGGCTTGATTTGCTTGTAAATCTTCGTCCAGTGGCGGTCCCGGATAGCTTCAGACTTGAGATCTGAAAGCAGAGAGTTGACCTTGAGGAGGCCGCGAAGGATGGTCTGAACGTGTTCGAAGGCAGCGTACTGACGCATGCGACTGGGCATCTCCTTGGTGCTCTTGATGAGGTCGTCGATCTTGGAGCGAATCTTTCTGGGCTGGACAGCCGTCCATAAGATCTCTCTCGTCTCATTCAGACTGGCCCAAATAGTGGACAGGTTAGACCAGACGGACTGGAAATCCTGGACCTCCTCCAGGATGGTGCCCAAAGAGGTATCGGCGCTGGCAGGGATGTCGAGAGCCTCCTTGGCCTTAGCAACCATCTCGAAGTCGGTCTGCAACTTGGAGATCTTGCTCTCGAAAGTGGTGAGAGTGGCAGACGCAATGTCAGGCTGGATGGTTCCAGAGACCGGCTTTTCGTCATTCCACTGCACGGCGATCTCGGCAATCCTGTCGTTCACAATCTTGTCCTCCGCAATGATCTTGGATCTGAGGGCATCGGTCTGGTCCTGAACAATCTTGGACTTCTTGTCCAAGATTTCGGTCAAGGATTCCCAAGAACTATCAATCTGCTCGATGTGGAGCCAGTCATTGGAGAACTGGTAACGCTGTCGCACAAGTGTCGACTGTCCTTGCCTGAACATGTCAATCTCGGGTGCCCAGAGCTTAACATTGCGCCTACAAGCCTGCACGACAGTGATGAATTGGACGGCTGTAGCCGTGGAAGAGGCATCAAGACCCTGTCCTTCGAGGTCGCGGCGGGCCTTCTCGATATCAGCGTGGACCTCACGCATGCGATTGCCGAGCCTGCTGGCGAACTTCATCAAGATCTCGTGCTGCCACTGATCGTACTTGGCGTTGACCTTGGTTTGCACCTGGTCGTAGTCAATCGTGGTGTGGCCAAACTGCCTGCTGACCTCTTGGGTGTCGAAAGTCTGGCGAGTCTTGCGAATTTCCTGAAGGAGTTGCAGCCATCGAGCGAGCTGGTCGCCAAGGGCCTCGTACACTTGCTCAGATTGAAGATCCCATAGGGACTGGAACTGAAGCCACTTGTCGACATATGTGCTGATCTCTTGAATCTTCTTCTCCACAGAAACGTAGACGCGGCTGAGCAAATCGGTGCACTCGCCAGGCAGGTCGTCGAAACGAGGCTCGTCCAGTGTTGTAGTGGTAAGGGTCATCTGGTAACGCGTGGCTTTGATCTTCTTCAAGTTGCAAACAATCCCCAGCCATTCGTGCAGCTGTACAAACCAGCTCGAGCGGGCATACTCCAGCGGAGGATCCAAGTAGATCACTTGGTTCCGCATGGACAGCTCATGGACCAAACGCTTGATCGTTGGACCTTGGGGAGTTGGCGCCTCGCCATTGTCCATGACTTGCTTCCGGCGGCCGTCGTCAAGATACTCGTCCTCGAAGGCTTGGATCCAGGTAAGAATGGCGTCTTGAAGACGAGCCAGGAGCACATCTTTGAGCTTCTGGTTCATGTTCTCAACCCAGTAGGGGAGGTTGACGTATTGCTCCAGGTTCAGCTGGTCAACAGCTGTCTGAATGGTCTCCAGGCGCGAGGTGAAGGCGTCCGCCTCGTAGGGACAGGTGTTGAGTTCAAGAAGGGCCTTCTCTACGGTGGCGTGGATCGAGGCCAGAGAGGCAGTCTTAGCCTGAAGCAAAGACACGGCCGCAGCAAACTCGCGGATGAACAGGCTGTGCTTGCTCTCTGATGGCTTCGACAAACCGAACTCAGAGACAGACGGCAAATTGGCATTGTTCTTGGTAGAGAAGAAAATCTCATGCGAGTTGACGAAAGACTCCCATCTGAGGGGAACACCCCGGGCCACCAGGGCGTAGACGTCGTTCCTATATCCAAAGACGAGGACCGCTTCTTCGCCCATCTCGGAAATCTGACGCATAGTTTGCGAAAAGGTGCGAACACTCTCCATAAGGCTGACGGCGAAGGGGTATACGCGCTTGGCATCTTTAGACACATTGTTGATGGAGTGAGGCACAGCATAGTTCTGCCACATTAGGTTTCGCGTCTCCTTGAACAGAGTGATGACCTGGGGATCGAAGTTGACAAGAAGCTCATAGTTGCCACCGTTTGCTCTCATGCGGCGAATGTCGAAGAGAAAGCCGGAGATGGAGATTTGCCGGCGCTGGACGTCGTCAAGCCATGCCTTGTAAATGGTCTGAGTGTCGAGCTTCTTGCGGAACAAGTTGCTCTCGCTCTGAAGCTTCTGACCTTCGGCGTGGATGGCCCATTCAACACCAAGAACATCTTCGACCTTCTTCATGTAGTTGTCCAGTTGGTGCTCGATCTGTCGAGCCCAAATGATAGCTCCAGAAACAGGTGGCAGATCACGCAATTGAGCCATGGCGTGGGCTTCGGAGTGGCCATACTGCTGCTTGAAGCGCTCGTGAAGGCCATGAATGGCTTGCTTGACGTGCTCCATGAGCTGGTTCTGGTACTCAGCAATGGCACCACGAATCTTGGGTCGCACGAAAAGAGCGTTGAATTTGGAGAAGACGCGGAACATTTCGTTGGCGTTTTTCGCAGTCGCCAGACGGTCTCGGAGACGCGCAATGATGGAATTCTCGACGCGAGAAGTCCGTTCATTGTACATGTTCTCGGCCTTGGCCCATCTCTCCGTACCCTCGGCGGAGACGTCCAGAAGGTCGACGTTCTTCAACGCTTCCCACGCCTGTTTCACTTCCTCGACGGCATCCACGTCGCCCATCTCCTCCACGACAACGACGCCATTAGTGCCGGTCGTTTCGGCCAGGCCGCTCACGGTGGCCTTGGGGCCGAGCACATTGACAATGGTGCGCTGCAGTTGCTCATGGTTGTCACGGAAAGTGCTGACGTACTTGAGACGTCCTTGAAGCTCGCCATGCTTGGGGTTGACCTTAATGGGGATGAACTTCTCGTTTCTGCGACGCGTAACCTCACGGGCGACGTTGGTAAACTCTTTGATGCTCTCATCCCAGGTAGTAAAGATGTCGTCGCAAGACTTCATGATACCCTTGAACTCGGAGTAATCAAGGTTGACGAGCTCGGTCCCCGGTAGCAATCGATGGAGAACCTCGTCCAAATCGCCAGAGATGGCCTCCACCAAAGGCAGTGCCCTACGAATGGGGTAAGGGCAGATTCTCAGCTTCCTGTTCAGGTGGCCAAAGATTTGCACGATAGCGTCCTTCACCTTGGACATGGATGTGGCAGAAAGCAGCTCATCAAGCGGGAAGTCTCTCATGAGCTGGTTGTACTTCTGGACCTTTTCCATAGCTTCCTTCAGACCCGTGTCGGCCGTGAAACTGACAGTCGCCTGGAAACGCTTCGCGTGCTTGAGAATCTCCAACGTCAGAAGAACTCCCTCGCTGCGGAGCTGTCCTTCGATTCCCTCCAGAGCGGACTCCATCGACAACCAAAAATTGACCTCTTGGCTAGCAGTGAACTTGAAATCCTTGGCGCTGTCGGCGGGGTCCCTGGTCATTCTCGTGATGACCTGGATCGACTTGATCCAGCTGTTCACGTTGTTCTGGAGACTATTGAGAAAGGTACTGTCGGAGAGGACGGCGCCCGGGATGAGATCGAGGGTTGGCTTAGAGTGTCGGGATTCGGCCTCCTCCAGCGCGTTCTGCACCATCGTGTGGAACATGAGGGAGACCTCGGGGATCTCGACATTCTGCTGCAGATGCAACAAGCTTAGCTCGAGATCGTTCCACCTCTTCTTCGTGACGGGAATTCCAGTCTTGGAGTCGACGTCGGCCCTTCCCCTGGCGCCATTGGTGATTTGGCTCCGGGTGTTGGCATCGAAATACGGCGCCAGCGCATTGTGAACGTAAGAGTGAAGAATCTCAAAAGGCGAGGTCGAAGGACCCTGCTCGCCGGCGGTGGCGTTCAGAGTAGCAGGGCCTGGGAGATTAGTAAGGAGAATCTGGGAGGTAAGAGGGAGCACGGGATCGATGGGGCCAGGCCGTTGCTTGAGCAGGACGAGGACAGACGCGGTTGTCGGGGACGAAGAGATCTCTGTGGTCAGAGAGTACGTGTAGGACGGAGGCTCTGGATGAACTCGGTTAGCAACATTGGCCACGGTGGATAAGCTCGTGGCAGCGGGCGACGAACTTGAGTCCTCTCCATTCTGTATCGCAGAGGCCGGCAGGATATCCTTCTGAATGTACAAGGTGTTGGGGGTATCGGTTGCGAAGCGGGCGCAGCGCTGGAGGGTGTCGGAGTAGCGATGCTTGTGAAGCAAGCTGCCGGGACTCTCGAGGTCCTCCTGGTTTGCGCCGAGAGCTATCTGGCATGCGAGAGCTATGTGGTCGACGACGCGGACGGGATCGATCGAGGGGTCGGACGTGGGCGAGGCGACGCCGTTCGCGCCAGGGATCGAGGGAGAAGCCACCTCCATGGCGGCAGACGTGTATTCGGACGGAAGAAGACGGTATTTACAGAGACGAGGTCGGCATCATCGTAGGTGTGACGGTCGGGCGAGAGGTTGTGGTGGACAGCTAGGTCTGTCGAGTCAGAGGCAACCTCAGGGGCGAGAGCGTTGCCGGCCGCAGTATTAAACGCGGTGTAGATAGAAGGAAAGAAGAGAAACGAAGACAAGATGCTAAAGGAGCGTGCTTGTTGTTATGAATCCTCGTGGATTCTCGGGGTATCGTCTAGTCGAGAGAGCTTCGCGATGTTCTTTTGGTGGCGGTGGGTGGTTGCTAGTAAGTTGGGTCAATTATTCGCGACTCGGTCGATGCTGCGCCAAAAGTTGTCTCCGGGAAGGTCCACGTCTTCCCGCCTGCAGCAGTGTTGACTTTCTACTCTAAACCGTCGCAGTAAACCTCTGGAGCCCCGGAAAGTCGACCTGTCCCCCGGCCCACTTTCACGTTGCCTTTAGTTTATTACAGAACCCTTCGGTCCAAAAAGTCAGGGGCATGGAAGGTACGCAAAGCTGCACCTCAGTGATTCATGTACCTCATGGGTGTTTTGCAGCGACTCCAGCGCGGGAGACTGCGAAAACGGTACCTTCTCTTTTTTCCCTTCCCAACGGACGCGACCAGGACGGATCCTTGTCGCGACAGCATGTGTCAGGAGGCGTTGGCCACTAAAGGCGTGTGGTGTCCCACTGAGGATTGCGGGGCTTATTTGATTGGCTGCCTTGCATCCGTTTTTTTGTGAATGCTTGTGGAGGAAGCTCAGACACGCTGTCCTTGGCCCCTCACATGGCGCGGCCAGGCATAAATAATTCTGCATCAAGCCCGGTCTCTAGTGCAAGCCTATATGCACGCCTTAGTCTCTGTGGTTTCGTTGCTGACTGTGCCAAAATGTGCCAACGCAGAGCAGAGGGCCCTTGACGACTTAGGTAATAATCGACAACAACATCCCTCCCGTCTCAACAATGGCCACGGCGCATTTGCTCCTCGTGCTTCTCGGTCCTCATCGTAGCGTTACGATCAGACGCAAAGATCGGTGGGAAATGCACTGTCTGCGGTCGCAACGCGACGTCCAATCTGCCACCAACGCCTACTCCCGCTATCCTTGAGCCCCAAAATTACTATTAATCGTCTTTCTATTAGCAGCGGCCCCTGGTAAGGTAAGGTAGCTTGAGCTGCAGCATCCCGCCAGCCCGCGCGCCCTGGCCCCACTAATCGACTTGGACTGGCCCGGACACCTGCTAGGAACCTACCGGTTTGGCAGTCCATCTTGCCTGACATCACCACACTTTCCGTAGCCTCGTCTAGCCTCACCTCGCATATCAAATGTCAGTCAGCTGTGCAGACCGCGGTTTCTCACTGCGGCTTAGTCAATATCACAGAGTTAACACCTCATAACCCAAAGTTCAATGCTTCAGTCATGTTCGCAATGTTTGCTGCTGCTTTAAAACCCGCCCAATGCATCCCTTCTCTTTCCGTAGACAGTAACACATCAAAGAACCATGTGGTCCCCAAAATTCTAAGGGACCCAAGAACGCACGACCAAACGACTCCGCCCAAATCAAACACCTGATCCGTTCCCGCCTGGCTCTCCGAACGACCAACGGCCATGCTTCCGTGACGCGACAAAGAAAGCTTCGTACAGCCTTACACTATCCCAATACCCATTCCCGATCCGCCATGCTAGGATACCTTCTGAACATATAGCGCCTTGCGGTATGCGCCCAACAACTAGTTGCCACCGTTGGCCGCCCCGGACGCATCCCCGAGCCTCTCCCGTTGAACCATGACCCGCTGATTGCAAATGTCGATAAACATCTCGAATCGCCCAATTATCTGCTCCTTCTCCTCCAGCGTCTTCTTCAGCTCATCAATCTCCTTTTGTTTGTCCTCCTTGTACTTGTCGAAGTCTTCCTTCGTCTTGGCGAGCTCCTTTCGTAGGTCTGCCCGGATGCGCTCCTCCGCCGTTGGGTGAGGCTTGCTGTAGATGGCTGGTCGGTTCTCAGCTAGCCCCGTCGCCACCTTTTGAGGATTCCTATTGATCGCCGCTCGTGCGTTGTAGATATCGCGAGGAAGTAGAGGAACGTGTGGGTTTTCGTTTTGCAATATTTCCAGTGTCTCGTTAACACTAACCCCTGTCGAAGAGTCAGCGACTGCTCTTTCGCGCGTTGTTGACTTCGCCGGCTCACCATTTTCCTTGAGCGCTTTGACGGCGGCAACCATCTTGCTGTCCAGCTTGCGAGCGGCCGGGTGGAGGAGGGGGCTTTCGCTCGGACCATGGTTGTGCTGCAGATGCTGAGGATCTGGACGGTATCGGATTGTCCACTGAGTTCGCTGCTCAATGGCAAAGAAGCCAAATTGGCAATCGCATTTTCGGGAAGACGTCTTGCGCTTGCGGAACTCGGGGCTGACGCGACTGGGGGGCTTGCCCGCCCTGTCGCATACAAACAACACCTTCTTTAGACCGGGAACCGTCTTCTTTGAACGACCAATAACAATCGCGTACCCAACAGAGGTGCAGTACGCAAGCACACTCTTGTGGACCGCCTCCAACGTCGGGTAGCTACCTCCCTCTGGGGGAGCAGACATCATCTCGCCCATTGGCTGTCTAGGCACGAACGGGGCGCCATCAATCATCTTAGGCTCAAGCGAGTCACCATCTTCAGCGAGGGTTTCCACCTCCATGCTGTCTCCATGGTGTTCGCTGGCCTGAGCCGGGGTCTCAGGCCGGGGTTGGGCAGGCTGTTGCACCTGCTGCACCTGTTGGACCTGAGGAACTTGCGGCACTTGCTGAGCCTGCTGCTGGACCTGCTGCGGAACCTGTTGCTGTATCTGCTGAGCCTGCGGGACTTGCTGCACGGCAGGCTTTGGCGTCGGCTGCTGAGGCTGTTGTTGCTGTTGAGGTATAATCGGCTCGCTCTTAATTTGCTGCTGGTTCAGGTTTTGCTGCTGCTGGTTGAGGCTGTGTTGTTGGCTCAACTTTTGCTGCTGGCTCAGACTCTGCTGCTGTTGTTGATGTTGCTGCTGCTGCTGGGCAATGCTCTGCTGTTGTTGTTGGCTCAACGTCTGTTGCTGGTTGAGGCTCTGTTGGCCGAGGCTTTGCTGGGCGAGACTCTGTTGGCTCAACCCTTGCTGGCTCAAGCTCTGCTGGCCAAGGCTCTGCTGACCCAGGTTTTGCTGCTGGTGCTGCTGCTGCTGTTGATGGTGTTGCTGTTGATGTTGCTGATGTTGTTGGTGCTGCTGGTGCTGTTGAGGTTGCTGGTGCTGTTGGTGCTGCTGCTGATGCTGCTGCTGGTGCTGCTGGTGCTGCTGGTGTTGTTGATGCTGCTGTTGCTGCTGCTGACCAAGCCCTTGCTGCTGACCGAGTCCTTGATGCTGCCCCAGGCCTTGTTGTTGTCCCAGACCTTGCTGCTGACCGAGGCCATGTTGACCGAGGCCTTGCTGATGGCCCAGGCTCTGCTGCTGGCCAAGTCCTTGTTGTTGACCGAGTCCTTGTTGTCCCCCTAGGCCCTGCTGCTGCCCCAAGACGTGTTGTTGGCTCAGGCTCTGCTGGTGGCCAAGGTTTTGTTGTCCTCCCAAGGGAAGGAACATGGAGGGCGCGCTCTGTTGAGGCATCTGCTGCCGCGAGGGAGGACCCCTCTGGCGTCCGAGGGTGGCGGCATTGGGGACGTGGCTCGGGGGACGCGAGGTGCCGTTAACGTTGCCATTGACGGGCGTCTGGGTCTGGAAGAGATGATGAGGGTATTGAGCCTGGGTAGGCTGCTGAGGCGTGTAAGCCTGTTGTTGATAAGGAGACGCGTTGTGAGGGCCGGGTGATGGTTTGTTTGCCGGGTTCGCGTGTAGAGGAGGGAAGCCTCCAGGACCGCCGTGACTGCGTCGAATGCCTGGCTGAGGAAAGGCGAGGCCCGGATGGCTGTTAGGACCCGACTGCCCCAGGCTCGACATTCTGTCGAGAGGAGCGTCTCCGGTTCAGAGAGAGGATCGGAGGGCTCGAGAAGGGCAAAAAAAAAAAAAAAAAAAAGGAAGGAAGAGGAGGATGAAGCGTTTTTTGTGTGTTAGGGTGAAGGCGAGGGCGAGGGCGAGGGCGAGAGGAGCGAGTCGCCCGCCTTGGGCCTTGCGAGAAGAAGCGTTCAGACGTCGGGCTCGGTGGTGAGAATCGACTCGAAGTCGAGGACGGGATCGGTGTGGACGTCGGCGAGAATCCTCTCAGAATGACAGAGCCTCCGCTATCGTAACCCGAATCCCAGAGATGCGAGAAAGGATGCAACAAACGAACCCTTGAATGTGGTCTGGGGGTGTCGATAATGGGGGGAGGGAGAGGCGTGGAGTGTGTGTGGGTTCTGGGAGGTGTGCACAGAAAAGAAGGGGGAGAGCAAACATGCGAGGTGAAGGGTGGTGTGCGAGAAAGAGAGGGCGGCGGACATGGAAGAGACCTGGACGGGAGGGGGGGAAGGGGGACTGGGACGTGGACGTGGACGTGGACGAGGACCAGCAGAGAGGGCGAGAAAGAGACGGAGAGTCAGGGCGAGGGCTACGGTAAGGTAGAGACGAGCGAGACTCGAGCCGGGCGTGCCAGGTCACTTCAGACTTTCACAGAGAGGGGGGAGGGGGACACTAGCCCAATACACCCAATACACAACCGCCTAGCCTGCTGAGCCAGCCGGGAAAGGGAGAGTGCACGGGGGATTGGCAAGTGCCAGACGCTGCCAAACGTGCCAGATGGGGGGAAAGGCAAGCCTAAGGCTGCCTGGGAGAATTTTTCTGTGGCGCGGGCCTTTTCTTCCCTGGGCCCGTCCGAGGCTACTGGGCTGCTGAGACCTACGCTTACGCTGGCCGGCTTCCTCTCTTATTTTTATTTTTTTTTCCCCACGCAAAAAGGGGCGGGGACACTGCACTGACCGGGACTGTGACTGGAGGATGGGACTCGAACGAAACTCCACCTTTTCATCCTTAGAGGTCCACCCAGCCAATGAGAAGACTGGTCGGGACAGCCAGCTGGCGTACCTATTGAGACTGGGAACCGCACGTGATCTTGGTTTCTGGAGCGAAAGTGATGTCACCGGCCCTATTGTTGACCGCCCCAGCCCGGTCAGGTCGAGGTCCAGTCGATTAAACCGCGTCCCCCGATTAGTCCGGTCACGCGAGAGAGCGGGAAAATAAATAAATAAATAAAAGCACGACACAGAAAAGCAACGTGTTTCGCTTACGACGAGTACGAGGCAGAATTTCTCATCCGACCGGGCGGACGATGGCCCGTGGGAAATGCAGTCATCACGAGAAGAAAAAAAAAAAAAAAAAAAAAAAAAAAAAAAAGTGCATGTCGTTGGGACCTGGACACCCTCAATTTAATTGACAGCAGCAGCTAACAATGTGATTGATTGATTTGACTGATGTCGCCCACCTCCCGGACAGAGGCGTGTACGTTGAAAATGAATCAAAGATTAATCACGGTCGAAGCCGACGGGAGTCGCTGCACGGCTTTTTGGTGGTGCCGTGTGGTGGTGCTGCTGCCATGCTAGGTAGGTGATGCCGCTGAAAGTCTGGAGCGCAGGAGTGAGAATAGAAAAAAAGAAGGCAGGGCACCAGTATGCAAAATCGACGGGAGGTGTCCCGCCCACAAGAGAGAACCAGCAGCACCCAGCACCCAGCACGCCGTTCGTTCAGTTCGGGGGAGGTGATGGGAGGTGAGGTGAGCTTAGGTTGCGCTTGTACCACCTCTTGCAGTTACCGGCCCAGGCACCCAGGGCCCCTTCTCGAGGGAACACGCCCCCTCCAACACCTCGGTGCTGGCTCTCTCTTCCCATCCACCTTGCTGTCTGCTCAACCTTCAGGTCCCTTCAAACCCTGAATGGCACGCGCAGGACAGACTGCAATAATAGAATGGATGAAAAGAACGAGTCAATTCGTTGGAGATTTGTGTATCCTCTCCACAAGACGCGCAGCGCAGTTCGACTGCAGCCAGAACCACCATCCCAAAGACGATCTGCACCCACCTACCTACCTACCTTACCAAGGTTGGTATCTCACGGCGCCTCCTGAGTTCGCAGGACTTCCATGTCTTCTCAGTGCCAACAACACCGTCCGGGCAGCGAAGCGTCGGCTCGCTACAGCACCAAGCTCCCCCTGGAAGCCCGCAAATCAGCCCTACATTTGCCCCCGGGCCCTGCAAAACCGAACCAGCCGGCTGAGGTGGTTTGTCTGTGCTTCACGGGTGCTTTTTTAGTGGAGTTTCCGCTACAGGGTCCCATCCCTGCCCCCTCACCCGTCTTCACCGAGCACACCGAAATCTTGGCCAAATTTCAACCTTTCTTTTTGTTTTATCATATTCATGTCGTAGATGTTCTCATTAGATTGTGTGCAGCACGACTGCTTCATACAGCCCGGTCGCCTTGTATTACGGCATATCATCAGTCATCTGTCTCAAGGGTATATAGTACAATAGGCCAGCCTGTTGGTCTGACCCAGGTAGAATAAGCTTTGCTGTTTCTTCTCGGTGGCTTCGAACGCCCCGGTAGCCAAAATGGTATCTTTGTGCGCCATAATCCGATCCCGTCATCTATCGAAAAACTCAAAAAATCTGTCAAATCCGTAAGTGTTGTGACGTTCAGTCACTTGTCTTCTTCCTCTTGCTAGGTCTCCGCACGCTGGTGTCTCCTTCGACAAAGTGACCTTTATCCTGCTGGTGCTGCTTCAAGTTGTCCGGACGATTCTTGTACTGGCTCGCGCAGCCCGGGTACGGACAGCGGTAGATCTTCGGTGGTGCCGCCGAGTGCTGCAGCTTCTTGTGCTTCGCCATACTGCCTTTGAACCACTGCGGGTCACCCTTGGGCCGATACCCGCAGATCTCGCAGCAGTCATTCGCCTGCACTTCACCTTTTGAGCTTGAGCTGGCCTTTGCAGTCTGGGCAGACCCAGGCGAGTTATCTGCTGTCTTGTTTCCAATCGTTGTGAGTGGTTGCAGAATGTCCAGCGCTGGATCCTCGCCGCTGTCATAGAAAGCCGTCAACGGGTCCGACAGTGTGGCGGCGTCCATCGAAACTTGAACATTGGGGATTCCGAAGTCATCGGGAACCATGAAGTCACCCAAGGATCCATCCAGGTCATTCGTCATGTTCCTGATGAACTCATCAAGGTTACCATATGTTGCTGCCTGAGAGGAATCATGCACAGGTTTCGTAGACGCCTGCTTCTCGCAAAGACCACAGATGATGCTCCTCATTAGTTCGATGCCGTGAGCGTGATATTCCGACCGTGCGGCGTATCCCGGGATCGGCTGTGAGTACAGAGCACCGAAGCGCTCTCTAACTTCAGGAACGTAGTTGTCGAAGTATTCTTGCACCGACATGCAACCCTAAGAAGGAAGTCAGCAAAGTTCTTCACGCATTAGGATCTCCTTGGCAATAACTCACTTTTCCAACCTGCATGAGCTCCAACTCCGCTCTCCTGACGGTTCGAACGCTTCCTCCACTAATGCGCTTCTGAAGACGCTGCATCTTCGACTCAAGCCTGCGTGCATGGGGGAATTCTTGGCAAAGCATGCGAGCAACGGCGTTGACCGTAATCGTGAAGGCCGGGTTTGCTGGTGTGGCGTCATCCTCAAGGTGCTTGCTCCATAGTGTCGAGGCCAGCACCTCCTTGGATTCTGGAACGTTACTCGGCAAAGCTGTAACCTCCAGTTCTAGAGTCGACATTAGCATCAGCAAGACCTCGCAAAGGAATAAAAGTCACCTACCGTCAAGGAAGAATTGCGCTATCTCGAGGAAACTGTCTTGCCCAAACTGGAATCTGTGGGGAGATGCTCGGCCTTTGCCCTTGGGACTCGACGACCTGGACACTGATCCTTGATAACGCTCCAGTAGCAGCTCGTCCAGTTCAGTGGTCGACAAGTCCAGGGGATGCCATATCTCCGTCGCTACCTCGAGGTATGCCTCACGGTCTCCTGGGCGGAATTTGTTGCTATAGAGATGTGCTTGCACGAATAGCTGTTTCGACCTATTCTGAGCGTCGTCTTCATGAACAATGAGAGAAAGCGAATATGTGACGTGAATAAAGCACAAGGCTTCGATCGTCGATGCAGGTTGCCCGCCCTCGAGGATTCTCTTTAGACATGTGAGCCCGATGTCGGCAACCCTTTGTGGTGAAAGCGATTGCAAGTCTCTCACAAGGTGGTTGTGTGAGAGACACTGCAGTTTCCCCATCGATGAACTGACGTGAGCCTTGAGGAGCTCCCAAGCAGATCCGACAAGCGAGTTGGCATCTACAGAGTAGGCACGGCCGAGGACTTCTGCTTCCATCTCGGTGGGCGGCATCTCTTCTGCCTGTTCAACAGCGGTGGGGATGCTGCTCTCCGTCCCCGGTGCCGACGCATTCGGTGCCTCGGTAAGGGGGAAATGCTGGTTGTTGGCGATGTCGTCTGGGAGCGTCTGAGGGAGCATGATATCTTCCGCTGGTAACTCCTGGATGAGCGTATGGAGCTGCAGGTCGTAGTTGGTGTAGCGAGATGCGTTGGAGTATTGGCTTGCATTGGAGCAACCTCGGGAGAGATTTCCGCCAGGGCTTATGCTGTCCGACGTGGGCGACGTGAGGCTGGTTTCGGCATGTGTCCAAGCTCCGCTGAAGGCAGAAGCAGGAGAGACAAGGTAGCTGGCAGTACTATCGGTGCTTGCATTCGATCTGAGTGAAGCACTGGGAGATAGATTCTTCGTCCGCGTGGTGGGCTTGTGCTGCTTTCGATATTGCGATAGGCCATGAGTATGTACCGACAATGATGGCCTGTCAACCCGGCCCATGTCAGTCATGTCAACGCCATTCTGCAGACCCCATTCGAAATTAAGGTCTGGCAAAGCAGGCATTGACTGTTGCGTTGGAACAGAGCCTGTCGCGAAAGGGTTAGAAGGCTTTTGATCGAAGGTGCTGCCTGGAGCAAAGGCGGTAGAGGGCATGGG